CAACTAATGGCACGGAAGAGGCATCTTGCATAGGTTCTTAAAACAATTGTGATAACTGATGTAAAGATTAAAGATGCGTTCCCTCTAGAAATCTTTTCGGAAGAAAGAAACTACTGTGTGGTAATAAAACGGGTAATGCTTTATAGGCCTACATTAGAAATATCGGATAGGCACTTGAGGAAGGATAAATCTAGATCGCATTTCTTAATTTATATTTAATTATTTTTAATAATATAATGTTACTTTCAATACCCAAAAATAACAACTCAAACGATTTCGCATAAAAAAGTCCAATATTTTTTTCTTTGGCGAACTCCAGAAGTTCTCTTTAGAAAAAAATATTAAGCTTTGCCAAAGATTCAAATTGTTCTTAACCTCTAAACACAACAAAAAAAAATAGAGCAAAAGGTCTAAGTGGCTCCTAAAAATCGACTGTATAATCTAAGCTCAAAGGAAAAAAATGTTGATAGTGGCAAAACTTCTACTTCCTCTATCTTTTATGACTTTTATGACTTATATGGTAAAACAGCTCTCGTATATAAGTCATTTAAAATCAAAAGTTCAAAACTGATTTATGTTCACAGTAAATAGTATCAAGTAATTTATAGATTCCTGGAAAAAATAGTTCAAAACACTGTTCCGAAAGATGTAAATTTGTGGAAGAAACTGAAGCAAAGGCTTATGTACAAACTTTTTAACCTAAGCCTTATATGAATGAGATTCAAAAATGACCTGCAAATCGTAGAGCTCACCTAATATGTAGTAGTTATTATAATTCTTAGAAGCTTCTGCATACAAACACTTATGCACAACTTTTAGTACAAGCGTGCACTACACACATACACATCGAAATATATGTAAAACAAATGTTTATGTAGCATTATTGTTGCTGTATTATCTACGCATTTGCCCAGCGGCACCATTATGCCAGCGCTGAAAAAGTAAGTGAGGAGGTAATAGCTCTTCGTTTTTATTTTTCTTTGTTTTCGATATTTGTGTTTGACATAGGCAATTTCGGGGTTGAAATTATAAAAGAATGAAGAAGAAAAGCATATGAGTTAAGAATTTCTTGTTTTGCCTACATTGTATACATTTAGTCTGCTTTTGATTTTAGTGAAGTGCGAACAGTGAACAATTTTTAATTTTTAAAATCAAATAAAAAGCAAAAATATAAATAAAATATAATTTGTAATTTCACATAAACTCACTGTAAGTATATGCAAAATTAAGTAAATATATTTAAAATGATAATTGTAATTTTTGTTTTGTATTATGTAGATGCTACTGCGTCAAGAACGATTAAATGACCAATGTGCTGCGAATGCAGTCATTCTAAAGCAAGGGGTAATCAGCTGTAGTCATGTAGTCAGCTGTTTCAATTGGAAAATTTTACAATTCAAACTGAGGAGGATTTAATTCAATTTAATGAAGAAATCACTGCCGTTGAAGTAGTTGTAAGTTAAATTATATATGTTTCTTACTTTCAATTTCAACTTATTAATATATTCACATGTAACAATTTTACTAATTCATACATTTCTTTTCATCTATTACGTTATTTATAGACTGCATCAATGAGACGCGTTATTAAAAAACAACCAATTACGCGAAAAATTTCCTGGAATTTTGGAGAATGGTACCCAAGGCAAGAAGTCCTTAAGAGCGTTAGAGAATGTGACAGCAGCACTTTTTGGTATAATATATTGTACATAATTAACTTTAGCGTATACAATAACATACTTTTGTATTTACAGATGCTTTAAGTACAGATGGTAAGCCGGAACAAGTGATCGAGTCGAGTCTGGAAATCTCTTCAAGGTTTTAGTAACAATTTCCAGAAAAATATTCATCTATATAAGTATGTTATATTTTTTTATGTAAATATTAATATTTTAATTTTATAAATCATAAATATAAAATATAATTTATCCAAAAAAATTTATAGTATTTTATTTAAAAATCAATAGCATAGGTAAAATTTAAAAGGTAAGCGAACATGTCAGCGCTGATATGTTGCATTATAAATTCGAAAAGGTAAGCTAACATGTCAGCGCTGATATGTTGCATTACAATTTCGAAAAAGTAAGCTAACATTTCAGCGCTGATATGTTGCATTACAAATTCGAAAAGGTAAGCGAGCATGTCAGCGCTGATATGTTGCATTACAAATTTGAAAAGGTAATCGAACGATTCAGCGCTTGCCCGCAATGACATGCACGTGTTAAAATTAGGAGTTTCCTTTGAATAATCAGCGCTAGGCATTACCATTCAGCGCTGAGGGAATCGATTCCCTCAGCGCTGAAAGTCCCGCTGGGAGTATATAAAACAGTTGCATATAGAAGGCAAATAAATAAGTTGAGGGGCTCGTCACAAGCTCGTGTGTTAGTATTTGTGAATCGAATGTTTAGCACACAAAAAATAAATTCCTTAATTCTTTTTTTTTTGTTTTTTGTGTTTATACTTTGGACTTCTCATGGCATATTTTTTTTGTGTAAACACTGTATAGCAAGTTGATGACGTAGTTGAGATGTGTATGTATTTGTGTCTATAAAAGTGCACACTTCCGAAGTTGGTGTTCTATTCTTTGAATAATCAAATTCAAATTATCGCGCAATTACGAGTTCATGCCGTAGATTCGGTTATGTAAATACAATTGAGATTACACATAAACCAATCAATAATTATGGTTTACAAATATTTTATAATTACAATATATAATATGTGTATTGAAATATCGTAATTTGATTTGCGGTTATGCGATATAAATACTTTTTAAAAAATAAAATATCTATAGACATATACATATGTATGTATACTTAGATACATACAAATGAAAACTGATCATAAATCAATTTGACTTTGATTGTCATATTTTTTTAGTCAAAACAAATATTTTATGATATTTTAAGCCGAATTGGCAATATATATTTATACATATTGTATGTTTTCACGTGATATACAAATTATATGACGACAGTTTTTTGTTTTGTCTTTAAAAATGCGTCAATACACCCACCACATTGCGAATTTATGTAGTCGCTGTTTGTATCACAAATAGATTTTCCTAATATAAATAATGGAAATGTACCAGAAATCGTTCGTATTTTTATACAACACATGCACATCAATATATATACATATATTAACACACATTTGGATTGTAGAAAAATTTTTTGGAACATGTGAAAATTAATGTCAAGCTTCAAAGAAGTTAAAAAAAATAAACACGCTAAATTCCCGCTAATTATATATTCTGGTCATATTGCCAGCAAAATTTAATATCCCATTATCGCACATTAATATCAAAATTAGTCTATGTTGAACTTTAAAAGCTGCATTATATTGGAGCTGTTAAAGTGTTAATATCGTCATTAAAGCGGGTATTTTTATTCAAACACTCGCTGATGATCGTAAATTTAATTCTTATATGGGGGAATACCCATGTAAATAGGATTGCCAAAAGTTTTGCAACTAAACGAAATAAAGAATGTTATTCATTGTAATAATAATTCAAAATTAACTGATCGTATACATATTGAAAAAAATAGTAAAATTTAAATTATAATAAATCCATGTTAGCTTAAATATACTCTAAGAAGAATCTGATTTTAGTCTGTAAAAATGAACTATCGTAAAAAAATTAACCCAAAAAAGTTGGCAACCTTAATAAGATTATCTTTTTAATTACTGTCAATTAGTCTATGCCACGATTATTTTTTAAAATATTGATCATTCTTATTATGATAACTCCACATCCATACACCACATTATTTTTGTCTAATGCTCCCATGTTAATAAATATAGCCATTATTAAATATATTTTTTGTTTTAATGAAATTAGTATCAGGTCTGACAATTTTTGTTACATTGTCTTGCTTTACTCTAATATAGTTTTAATTTACTTTAAGTCATTTCTATAGAATTGTATGTTCTCTTCAGTGTACTTTATACAACATTTAGGATCTTCTCTAACCACCAATTCCCAAAAGCTTTAATATAAAAATAAAAGATTATTAATATATTATTTGCATATAAGAATGATTAAATTAGAATCGGTTAATAATGTTATATTTTAATTAGTAATTAAAAAAACTCACTCTGTTTAATAGTTCAATAAAATGTCATTAATTTTTTCAATAAAAATGCACAACTTTTGATTATTAATAAAAACCGGGTTATCTTTTAATGTAAGCTTTGACCCCTTTTTAATTACTTCAGAGCATTAATATTAATATTTTAAATACACACGATTAATTACTAAAAAAAAAATTTGTAAACACTGTCGTTAATAGTTTATTCAGCAGTACAATGTATGGATTGTGTTGCGGTAAAGACGAAATCTCTTAAGAAACTAAAATTTGAATAATACTTTTTTTCGATGCTAGTCTAATTTTGAAGATTTTTTATTAATGATCACTTCAAAAAATAAAAATTTTAAAAATAAAACAAAATTAGCACAAAAAAAGCTACTTAAATACATAAAAATATAAAACTATTTACCAACGTCTAAACATGCAAATATCTAAGATATGGAATGTGTCAAAAAGAGAAATAGATTTTATATGGCCATGACAATACATTGTACCCTACGAAAGGCATTACGAACTGATTGGTTTACTATTTGTTTCAAAAAAATATTATCAAACTAAAGAAGTTTAATATCCTTGATTAGTATCACTCATCTCGATAATCTCTTTTACTTTCAAAGCTCTTTTTATAATCTAAACTACCAATGTTTTGTATGAATAGATCCCAACCATATAGAGCAAAACCGATCAGTTATTCGAGGTTCCATTCTCGACACATTTTCGTTTTTACGTTTTCTTGCAGCATTTCGAAAAAAAATACATTATTTAACATTGTATCTTTTAAGATATCCCCTTCCTAGCTATATGCTTGTTACATACAAAAGTTATAAATGGTGTAGACTTTGTTCTTTTCCCTGGATATATTATAAATTGAATTTCATTAAGCTCAGATTAAATTGAAAATTTTTCGTCAATGAATATATATACTATGTTTATTTTTCTCAATCAGATCAAACTTTTAAAAGATTCATATGCCTTAAACATTACCTATTATTTTTATATCTCATAACAGTGTAGCAGCCTGACTGTAGATCAGTGCCTTCTTGATATTTACTACAACTGCTGAGTTTCAGAGTAAAGTGAATAACACCAATTGGATTTAACTACTCGAAAATAATGCACCAAACACATATCGTCAAAGAACGAGAAAACCACCCGGACTACCATAGCACATCAGTCTGGGAGTAGACCAGTGTTACTCTGGTATACTTAATATTTACTACAACTGATCAATTTCAGCCAAAACCGAATGAGAATGAATCGTCATGTATCGGCAAAGCAAGGTAATAGTATCCCCGTTAAAATAACTTGGGATTGTAAGAAGAAAAAGGATTTCCATTCTCGTGAAACACTAATAAGATTTTAGTTCGTAAGGAAGATAAGTTGTTAAAGAATAAATCAATTACAGTAAATTTCAGACACTGTGTTTAAACTTTGAATAGTGAATCTATTTTTAAATTAGGTCCATTCGAAATTAATACTTAGAATACCATTGTTTTTATTTTAGGAGATCAATACTACTAAAATTCATCTTCTGGTGATAACTGTAGCGACGACTAAGCACGATCTCATTGTATTAAAATGCCGACTGTAGATACTTTCAAAACCTCACAGCAACACCGAGACTCTTATATTGCGGTTAGTTTATATGCTAATTTTATGCGTAGTTTTATAAAATACTTCGATTGGGATCTGCGTAAGATTCACATCTTCTAGTTCGAACCGCTTCTATATAAAAACGTCGAATAAATTTCACATATGGACTCTAGACTACAAAGATGTCTGTTTGAATATATTAATTTGCAATATATAAATTATTTTTTACGGGTATTTTTGTTTATTATGAATTTACTTTCAGTTTCACTGGAAATTAGTCGTTTTTTTATATTTAAACTTACGTTATCATTTATTAAAACATAGTTTTTTTTATTATAGGTAATGATCTATCTATCTATCGATTCATGAGGTCAATAATGTCTATTAATGTTATTTTTGCTTGAGTCGACAGACACAATAAAAGCCTTTATCAGCAATTTATTTCAGATTATTATTATTTTTTTTTATAAATTTGTTCCTAACTTGTTCATTTCATGTTCAAAGAAAAAAAGTTCAAAGAAATCCCTGAACCGCATTTTATGCATAATTAATTAAGAGCTGATAAGGCATAAAATAAGAAGGACTACATTTTTTGAATATTAAGAGAATTACACATATAGTTTTTAAATTGGTGTGTTAGCAACCATCCAGTTTCTTAAGCCGAAGTGGTTCTCTATCTGAACTTGTTTTGATAAATATGAAAAATTCCAGGAATACATGGGAGGTCGTTTTTTTTTATTGAATTGTAAAGTTGAAAGAAAAGTGCCCTTTTCACATGTACATTTATGAAGTGCGTTGTGTTAGAAGAATCAATTCATCGATTGTTTTTTTTCGGTTTTTTTAAAGTATATGAGTTATAACATAAAACTCGATTCATTTTTGGGCACAATTTATTTCTAAAGTGGACTGCAGTGGAAATTTATGTGTATACTATGCACCGATGGCGTTAATAGAACGTCTACTAACATTTTACTATGCATAAAGAATTTATATAAAATATTATAATAATATAAGTTATTAATATCATTTTTCGTTAGTTTTTATTGTAAGAAATGCAAGAAAAAAATTTTTCCTTTAACATAAAATATTTTATTAAATAATAAACATAATTGTAATATATATATATCTTAATCCATGAAACTATAGCAATATATATTTTATTCTACATTTTAATTCTATACTTTTTACATATCAGTGTTAACATTACGTATACTTTGAAGAATCTGTTATATAAAATTAATCTGTAGAAATTTGAAGTTATATTTTTTGTAGGTAAAAAAGATATAATTATAAAATTATTCACAAGCACATCATCAAATCTTAATAAGATTCGAAATTATAATAGTTTTTGTTACAACTGTAATTAAAATATTTAAGAAAGCCTTTATAAATTATTTCCTTATCTTTTATAAATTTTGGATTATTACTGGGCTTAGGTCGTTTATTTAACACATAAAATTATAAAAAAAATTTTAAATATTAGTATATATAAAAAGTTTTTTAAATAAAAATTTACACTTATTAAAGTTAAGTTAAAAAATGTGTTAAATGTATAATTATATTTTAATTTTTATAAAAAAACTATTTATCGTTTATATATAAATGATACCTATAGCCGGTATATATTACTATATAATATATTATTAGGCTGTCAAGTATTTTACTCTTAAGTTTAGTACATCTGCTTGAGAATTACATTCCAACAGATAGAATTAACCGGTCATGTAGAAGAAAGCTCTTCGAAATTGTATTAATTATTTATAACTAAACTTTCATGCGTAAATAAATATTATTTCAATAATTCGATTGACTGTTTTAATATAATTAAATTGTTGTTGTTATGATACTTAACGAACGTAACGAACGTTACTTATGTTTCAAAATTCAATTATATATGAATCAAGTCAGCATATTTGGTTACTTAAGTTACGCTTGTTCAGATTCAAAAATACTTAACGAATTTTTATCTAAAAATATTATGAGATAAAGTTTATCTCGAAATTTTGTTGTTAAATTATATAAGAACAATTATTTGCTTAAAATTATTTATCTTAAAAAATCTGCAGACGAAATTAATTTTACCTATGTAAAATGATATTTTCATAAATTTTAAACAAAAATAATGCTTATTTTACAATGGATTATATTAATTCTTTAAAAATACTTAAATCTATTGTGAATTGTTCACAACAGAGATAACAATGAGCGCAACAGTAACATCACTGGCGACAGATTCAATTACTTTAAAAATTATAAATAAAGATGCTCTACTTAAGGGTTAATATAGATTTGAATAATAACGGTGTTCCTGAAATAGTTTTAAAAATTTTCTTCAACAGGTGTCGGTAATGAGTTATACTTACATACCAACACATCTATTGACAAGCTCAGCACGCGGTTGAAGGGTAAAATTCATGGTATCGAAATTGGTCATGGCGATAAGGCACTTGTATATGGCGAAAAGGAATTCGTATTGTTACAGTTCTTAAATAACGAAGTACACATATAAATGAGATGTAAATAGAACAATGTCTAATTTTATATATTTGCTTATAGTTTAAGGAACTTGAAAGAGCGCATTTAACAGATTGGATAAGTGCTGGACATTTTTTAGAAGATAAATCACAGTTTGTTTTACTGACTGCGCATTCCATTTTACTACTTTTTAATATTAATAATGGTGACTCAGTGCATAATGTAGATAACTTTACGCTCAAAAGAAGTTTTTCCTGTACGGACAAATCCACATTGTATTGTGCACATATACATGGTGCAACCTTAGAAAAATTAGTCATATTTGGAGGTAAATGTTTTTATATAATATATTTAGCTTTACATTCCTTTAATAATGTGACCAATATATAAAAGGAAATGCATTTGGAGAATTACTGATTTGGCAACTAAAACATTACACTGACACCAAAAATGACAAAGTTGAAGTAAAGTTATTACAGCGCATATCAGCGCATAATGGAGTTATATTTTCCATAAATTATAATAAATTATACAGTTTACTTACGACTACATCCGATGATCGCTCAATACGTTTCTGGCAGGTCAATTGCTTAGATGACGATTGGTGTGATGCCATATTGACACCAGTAGCCAGCGGATATGGACATGTAGCGCGCGTATTTCAGGCAAAATTTATAGAATATGGTTTGTATACTAGACGATATCAGATTTTGTGAAGAAAATGTGATCGAAATTACTTTTAAATATCATGTAGGTCAACGTATTTATGCAATATCTGTCGGCGAGGACTCTTACTTCTGCGTGTGGCAAAGTAATGGGCAATTATTATTTAAGCGTCGTCAAAATTTTGGTGCAACCATCTGGAATTTGGAGTGCTGTGGTGTAACAAATACCTTATACACTGTAGATTCAACGGGTAATTTATTATCTTATGATCTACAAACTATTTTCGAAGATAATGAAACCAAGCTCATAATCCTGCCTAAAGTGAACAAAGAGCAAAGCAACGAGTATGTAGCAAAAATAAAGTTCCTACAGCAACATCTCTTGGTTGGTGTTACAAATAACAACCGTCTTGTTTACAAGCCACACAATGACGAAGCCATTTGGTCAGCAGTTGAAGGCTTCGAACCATTTAAATGTACTGTACTAGAAGTAGAGCAGAATTTGATAGCATTATGCGGTTACAAGCGAGTGGCACTCTTTGTATACGATGGAATAAAGCAGAAGTTTAACAAGCTTCATGATTTAGAAATGCTAAGTGGAGTTGTGCGTGCTTTTCAATTTCTTAGTGAAAATTTATATATAATTTCTGATGAGTTGGGCAATTGTAAGCTTTTGAAATCTGAAAATGATGAACTGCTGGAATGGAATATAGAATTACCCAAGTGTAAAGAGCGTTGGTTAACTGCTGCCTTATTGATAGAGAACAATTATCTTGTAATAAGTAATCGCCAAGGAAATTTTATGTTATACAAAGCAAAAGAAAATTCTTTTGAATTTGAACATAAATTTACATTAAAGCATCCACATGGAAACTTGGGAGCTACGCTCTTCAAATTGGTTAGTGCTACTTCAGAGTTGATATTAGTAAAAAGTGCTGGACATGATGGAACACTAATCACCTTGTGCATTAGTAAACAAAATGTTACTATGAAAATAAATTCACGTCTTGTAGTACCAGTAGCTTGGGTTGAGGATTTAATCTGTTGTGAGCAATATGAACTATTATTGGGATTTAATGATAACCACTTTGTTATGTGGTGTAAAGAACAAGATTTTTTATTACAAGTACCTTGCGGCGGCGGGCATCGTTGCTGGCATTATAATATTGTACAAGATGAAGTTTATAAAAACTGGATGATACACCTGGTCTTTATTAAAAACAAACAAGTGCGCTTGCATAAACTGAAAATATTCAATGAAGTTCAAAGTAGAATTAAGCTAACAGTAGCAAATTTTTGGCATGTTAAACCTTGCAATATTTTGCAGATTGTTAAAAAAGGAATTAAAGAAAACGTGTTCATATCGGCTGGAGATGATAACTTGATCAAAATTTCTGTTTATAACTTTTCACTTGACCTTGTGAAACTTGTTGGAGAGGTGCATACGCACATATCGAACATAAGAACCTTACAGACTGTGAAAATAGATGAAAATGACTACCTGATATTCTCCGGCGGTGGACGTGCACAAATATGTGTTACTAAATTAAATTTACTTTCTTATGAAATAGAAGAGTTGATTAATTACACTCTCAAATCTACACCGTCCACACAAGCAACTTATACTTTCGATCCAGAAACTCGAATTATGTCAATTGCTGTGTTACAGTCGGTTTCAACTAAGGGCTTTGCATTCGAACTTTTCATTGGTTGTTCCGATGGGTTTTTGAGAAAACTTCTTATCGACAGTAACTTTGAAGTGAAAATTTTAGCAGAAATATATTACTCCAAATGCTTATTACAAGTTAGTTTAGTGGCAGATTTGTATGTGGTCGCTGCAGCTACGGATGGTGTCCTGAGATTTTATAATTTGAATTTAAATCAAGTTGTGTATGAATTGCGTCATCATGCCAGCGGCGTGAATGCTTTAGATATTTGCTTAAGTGAAAATAAAACGGAGTTACATGTACTTACAGGCGGCGATGACGAAGCAGTTTCTTATACCAAACTAAATTTAGTTAAATTTGAGGTAATCAAAAGCTTAAAATTGAATCAGCACACCGCACAAGTTACAGCCACCTGCTTATCGCCGGATGGCCTAAATGGATACACAAGCAGTGTGGATCAGAACGTCTTTAAAATTTGCTTGAAAACAGGGAAAGTTGAGCAATTAATACACGCCTGCATAGCTGATGTTAAGGGTTTATGCTTAGGTAGTAATGATTTGTTTGTTTTGTATGGTTGTGGTCTACAAACGTTTTATGTAAATAAAAAAAACACGAAGTGTTAACATAACACTGAATTTTTAATATTTTTATATTTAATTTATAGTAGGCCTTTTTCTAAAGTAAATTAGGCAAATGACATATATTATACTAATGTAATACTGCAAGTCCGTGCTCTTAACCCGAGACACAGTTGTATGCCTTAACTTTGATTAATTAAGCATTCTGTACTCATATCAAACACTTTATTTGGATTGATTTCCGCTCTTGTTACAACAAGTATATCAAAATCTAAGTGACTCGTGTTACCCTCCATTTTGTTACGGTAGTCCAGCATGATTTCCTTAAAGGTTTCAAAACTTGTGAAAGAATTTAAAAGTTCGAAAATGTCATTATTATACTCTGAATCATTATTAGCTTCATAGTTTCTGCAGGGATTATTAACGATTTAGTATAATTTTAGTTTAACATTTATTTAATTTGAATAATTTACCTTAACTCTTCTGCAAAATGCTCCATACTAAAGTCTTCCATACGTCTACTTAATTCGCGTACGATGAAACTTTCAAATGTGTTCGCATAGTCGTTGAATATATCCATATATTCCAATTTATTCTCTTCGCCATCTTCGATTTTATGCCAATTTGAGTTCAAGAATTTAGTATGCAGGCACTGCTCAATAAAAGTAGGATTATTATTTTCTATATCATAACATCATTGGAAAGAATTTTACCTCAAATTCATCACTTAAAACAATTTCCTCAATGTATCCAATAACTGTATCAAAATATTCGCTGTTATTATTCTTGCATATAATATTCAGTGAAACGTCTCCAAATGTATCCATGTTTAATTATTAGTAATAGTAGTTCTTTTAAAAAGTGTTAATTTTTGTTTATTTCTTTTGTTGTTTTGGAGTCGATAATTCATGGTTACTAAGGCAACCGGAATTAAGGATTGCGTCCCAAACTTTTTCAATATTTCCCGAATATCTTTTTCAGTGGTGTTGAATATGGAAATCACTAAGATTCTATAAATATCGTAACGGTCAACTAACTTTACAAATATTGAATCTTACTATATCTTTGGTGTTAGGGCGGCAGGGAGTACGTTTCACATACTACAAACTGTCATTGACCTTTCCGAACAGCGATAAAGTCAGCAGTTCTCGTCGGGTTATAACAACATATTATCTTTAAGTATCCAATTAACGCATAATAAAAAACAATTTCTTTTTCATAAATTAATAAATAAATATAATAAAAATTAATTTTTTAATAATATTTAATAATAATAAATATAATTGCATTTGAAGTAAAAATTAAATTTCTTTGTATGCTCTTCACATGTTCAAGCCAATACTTCACAGAGAGATCAGGAATGGTTCAAAATGCAAAGTGAAACATCCGCCTAATGTGCTCAAATCCCGCGATTGTCAGGAAACGAATTCATTTGCGTTTCATTTAACCAAAGATCTTAAATAAAAGGGTATACCTAGATTTACCAATAAACATAATAAGTCCAAGTTAGAGTTTTACCGTTGTCCATTTACAATTAAAATTTAAATAAAAATAAATTAAATGCAATAGGAATTAATTATTTTACTTTAACACTTTTATTCTCGTTGTAATCAGTTAAGATCTATATTGCAGGAAAAATAAAAGGATTAATATTATAATAACATGTGCTAGAATCAGATTAAGTACTGGTAGAAGAAGAAGATAGATTGTTTGGGATAAAGAAGTGCGTAGGTGAATATTAATTGAATCTCGCATGGATCGAGGTGAAAGAACCTGGCCGCTTCAATGGAGCTAATGAGTCAAGAAAATACTTCTTAACAGTGGTTTAAGAAAAACATTAAAATAAGCTATTTCATCCTCACTTTGCATGTTTCATTTACTATATTAGGAAATACATGATTTATATTTGTGCTTTAATATAAATTATGTATACATATATATGAACCCAAAGTAAGAGTATTTTCTTACACGTAAATAGATTACAGAAATGTACATCGTAATGTTACTGTTTGTAATTACTTTTAATATTGTTTCTATCTATAGAAACAAAATATATTTATTGTTTTATTCAACGAACCTTTGTCAAACTAAAAATTCTTTTGTTTTTCAAAATTTAAATAAAAATAATAAATTATGTTAAAGAACTTTAATACCAACATTGTATAATACATTTCCTTAATACCTAAGTTAATAAATTACACATGAAATGTTAATGAAAACCATAGATGAGATTTTTTGGCAATTAATTTTGTATTATTTTAACCAATTTTGGACAATATTTACAGAAGGCATTTTTAATGCCAAGTCTTGATAATATAAATTTAAATGAAAACAATTATTTATATATCCAAGATAAGATTACACTAACAATTTTATATGCCTCTTAACATTAAAGTCACTTTTAAAATTAACCGCCGCCTTATAGTCATTAATAGGTTTTATATTTCATAGGTCTTATATTATATATAAAATGAAATTTAAAACATATTAATTTATTTTACAATCTCCACCTTTGAGGAAAATTTATGTTTTCGTTTATTTGTATTAAACCGTTTCCAATTTAACAAACAATTAAAAGATTTAAATTGAAAACATATTAATACAAAATATAAGTTTGATTCTGTCGATTTTTAAAATCATGCAAAATAAAAAAATGAAATTAACGTTTTGACTTGTTTTGGACATAGGCGTAATATCATTTTTTCTCTACGAATTTGTCCTCTTTTTCTGCTTTGGCAGCTGCACGGTCTGCTTTCTTTTGTGCATATATTTTGATGATATCTTTTTTGCTTGGTATAGGTTTGATATGTCCAGCCTGTACGAGGTACTTAATAGAAACAGTTGTACCACCTTTGAGAAAATATATAACTTCAAATATAATTTTCCTGCAAATAAAATACGAATAACTAACCCAAGGTAAGTGCATATCTAAGCGGTGTAACTACTTTATAGCATAAATAGGCTATCGCTATGTGACCCATTTCAGAATCTTGCACCTTGTTGATTATGGATTCACTTAAATGTATGTATTGTAACATAGACGGTACATCTACTCCACTAAAATGGAAAATTTTATTGTTTGTTTTTACACAATCTTGAAATCTCATTTACCTTTTTGACAGATAATAGAAAGAACCAAACCAACCGATTGACGTTACAATATGTACTGGTATCAAAACGTACCAATACTTTTTATACATAAGTTTGAATCTTGCAAAAAGTCCCAATTTGGATGTTTCACCAAATAAATCATCTTCAATCGCTTTGGCATCTTCTTTGCTAGTAAACTGTGGAGATTTCTTGCCGTATTGTCGAGATGTTGTTTGCGACTGCCAGAATATTGTTGTCAATAGTGTCTTATTTATACCGTCGTATTTTGAAAACTCATTATTCAAATGCGGTGCAAAATTTGAATACTTTCTCGTGCTGTTGCTGCTGTTAGCACTACTGTTGTTGAATGTACATGTCGCAATGCATGTTGTTCTCGTTAATTTCGACAGAGCGTACCGCTGTTGTGCACACCACAGTCCCTGCTTGTTAAATATCGCCTTTAATGTGCTCATAGTTATAACTTATTTTAGGAAAACTTTGAGTAAAGCATGAAATGGTTAAATTTAAAGAAATAAAAAATATAAAGAATTCCTTTTTCCCATGCAGAAGCAGAAAAAATTTAGCCGGTGAAACTTGTCAGATTATGAAAACAGCTGATTGACGTTTCAATTTGGTATGTCACAAGTGTTGCTGTGTCGAAAAAAATGAAATTGACAAGTGAGTTTGATTTTTAGTATATATAAACTACTTAATACTTGTAATAATCATTTCTACTATAGACAAACAATTTGCATGAACAAGATTTTTTACTTGAATGAGTGCTTTGGGTCGAGCATTTACATGATTGCGCCTATTCACACTAACGTGTTTGTAACTGGTTTGTGATAAAAGATAGAGGGGAGAGAGTGTGATTTTATGAAAATTACAGCGTTTCTTCAGCTTGTTATATATATCTCAAGCATCAAGCTTTACGATAGTATAAGTGCAACCGTCAAGCTGTCGCTAGTACAAATAAGATTCAGACATAGACGTTCTATTATAAATTAATATATACGTAAGCATACTGTACTTGCATATGTTTTGCATGATGAAGGATTTTGATCGTCTATAGTATCTTTTAGTTTATGGAGTAAACAAGCTATTCAAATACCAAATTTTTTCTTTTATCTTTAAATAAAATTTAAATTTCCCTTGTTTTTTGTCTATCGGTTAATATATAGAGATGATTATCAAATTTATGTATTGGATACTGGTGGATATTTTTCGTATAGTATTCCGCGATATCAGCTTAACTTCCAATGGATCGATATTACCTTAAAGACTCGTCTACAATTTCATAACTATCCAGTAATAACTATGCGTTATATAGAGTAATATATCTGGACTTAACGTTCAATTGTCTTGTCCATTGCTTTTATTTTGTCTTCATAATAGAATCGGAAAGTTATTACGGATATTAATGAAAACATTGATAAATATAAACAATGATAATTATTGTTACGCTCAACATGCTAATTGTCACATAATAAATCTTCAAATATTAATGCTTTAGAGCTTTTTATAATAAAGTTTATTTCAATATTAATAAATATTAATAACAGTTTTAACATTTGATATACATATGTATATATGAGGTTAACTCATGTGTTTGATATGAATAGTTTATTATAATGTAAAAGACCTTTGCGTGAATTACTTGCACTTAATTCAAATCTTAATCACTTCAGCTACTCTTCTAGTTTTCATATTGTAAACATAAACTATGAAAACATCAAAACTACATTCACGAGGCATCAACAAATACTAAAATAATAAACACTTTAAATGCCATTTAGTCTTTGGAAGCACACATGTTTCATATCAAAATCAAATAGTCATAATCCCATGATATTGAAATAAACACTGGAGAGTGACTACAGGGCAATAATTTTTTATTTGCAGAATAAACAATTGCATCCTCTTACTCTTTCAATAATTTATTCCACAAAATCTATTATGTAATATATTATTTTTCTAAGAAGCGTTAATAAAGTGAAATTAATGACGTTATCATCAATTTTCAGTGTGTGCACTTTGAAGTCATTAGTTTTGTAGGTCATTTTTCATTACTGGAAAATAATAAATTGTAGATATTACAAAGTTGGATTGCAAAAACATGCTAAAACTATGTAAGTTTCAAGGAAATTTAGTGATGCTTAATACGATTGAATACAAACCTTTAAAGCTTTAATTAGTATTCTATATACTCAGAGAGTAGTCTGCTAGGTACTGAAGTCTGAACACTGTAAACTAGTGACTAGTGTAGAATAAATATTATTCTTTATAATAGACAGACATCTCATTTTGTGTTCACTACAATACAATATGCATATGCAATTCAATGACAATAATGGACTTATTGCATTAAGTACATTTATTAAGAATTCTTACGGCGAGAGCAATGAAAGTGTCTGTTAGAATATCTTTCGGGAAAGGAGAAGAAGATGTTATATTAAAAATGATTTCATACTATGCAAAGTGTTTAAGAGCAATGGATGTACAGGACTAGAAATGAGAGATCACAGATAAAAAAAGTGTTCGAGAAAGTATTGATCCACCACTTAATGTAGTAAAATGAAAACAAATTCGTCTTTCCATATCAGATAAGTATAGAGAAAACAATTTATTTAGCTGGCCACAAACTGTTATACTAAGAAAGAGAATAGATATATTTACATGATTGAGTTATCCAAGGTTTCTCTCGTTATAATATCAAAAACATTGAACTATTCAATATTACTTTCCATATTTGATAATGCTCATAATAACATTTAAGTTTACTATTTAGTCATAATCAATCAAACAGCCTTCAAAAGTTTTTTATAAAAACTTATTTTCGATTTTATAAAATTTATTAAAATAAATTATAGAAAATTTCACAAATTTCAAATGGATATGAGAGTGTTTATACTTGCAAAGCATTCTAGTATTTACATGAAACAATAAACGCTAACAACAGCACAATTTTTCTTCAGAGTTAATGTTTAAAAACTGAACATAAACAATAATTTTTCTTAACGAAAACAAAAAAAAAAAAACACGAAGAAAAATAATAAAATTAGAAGCAAAAACAAAAAAACAAGAACGAATTCTCTCGTTTAAACAAAACTTTTTGATTTTGATTAAAATAACAACCAAACAATTTAATTGACTTTTATATAAAAATACGACTTTATTTAAATTTTTACAAAATGAAATGAAAATTTGTGTTTAACGTCATTTAGAGAACGAAATAAGAAATACCGAGCGAAAAACAGGCTGCTTTCAATTAACTTTTGAAGTTTAATTTATATTTGTTTCTAAAAAATTGCAAAGAAAACAATTTAATTAAAAATATACAATATATTTACAAAAAAATTAACCATACAATTTGTTAAAAAATAAAATAAATAAACATATGCAAAAAATGTTTAACAAATTAATTCTTTAATTCCATTCACACACAAGTTCCAGCGTCAAAGCGCGTTAAAATCGCATTAACTGCGAATTTATTTCGCTTTTCGCTTCGATTTCCTGTCGTACTAATTTTAAACTTTTTCCTGTTTACGTGCCGATACGCATTGCCATTGAAATGGCCGACCTCCATTGGCCATTTTCCTTAGTTTATGGCGCTGAGCCGGTGCGTACCAATTGGGGCCCTGATAATGCATCCACGCGTAGTAAAACTTTTTTCTTATTCGTTTGCGTTAGAGTGGCTGATGCATTTGTTGCTGATGTGTCCTTGGCCTTCATGGACCTCACATAGTCGTAATGGAGTTGTGTGGGCTTTTGTCCAAATATTTTCTGACGTATACTTGGTCTTTTAATGCGCAGTTCATTATTTGCGGTTTGATGTATTAGAATTTGTACATTATCCGCCGCCGCATGACGTTGTCTTTCACGCCGCTTACGGTGCTTTCTGTGATCGCTATTGAGCGAGGAACTGTTGCTGTTGTTTGTGGATTCTGTTAGGCTGGAATTATTTTTATCATTGTTAAGTTGAGACTTCTCCTTTCGTTGCACTTCATTTTCAAAATGTAATGTCGTCTCCGTTGAAGATTTATTTTCAGACTTTTTTGCAAGCTTCAGTTTAGCCTTTTGCTCTAATTCTTCTTTATTTTTTTGTGCCACCTCTTTTAAATGTTTCTCCTATAATCAAATAATTAATAATATATATATTTATATAAAATTTTCAGGAAGCTACAATCCAAATACTTACGAAAAGTGCTTTCTTCTGTTTATCTCTTTTAGTCTGTACGACGACCCAACTTCCATAAGATATCATTATAAATGCAGGAACAAGTATACTGCAAAAGAAATGTGAATAATTTTTATTATAAAAATAAAGTGTATATGAAATAAATTAATAATGGTAAATGGTAAATGTCTTAACTAAGAAGGAAACTTCAAATTAACTGCGGTGTAGTGCTAGGGATAGAATAACACTACAGGATCATTCACCTTATCGTAAGAGGCGATAAAAAAATAACGCGAGCATGGGCACTATAAAACCTTCATCGTTGTAGAACACATGGAAAAAATGCCCGTGTCCGTGAATCAAGGCGCAGCATCTGTTCCAAACATTTTGGCAGCTGCACACAGCGACTGTTCCCTATGATAAAGGCGGCTGAGATTAACACGGAAAACTTTAAACCCTTCAGAAGGCAATGGGAAATCACTGAAGTCATCATCCCACAAAAAATCATATGGAAGATAGTACCTTCCATTGAGCACGTAAGAAATAAATAAAAGATTACAAGTAATATCAAAAAATTATCTTGGATTAAAATAGTCTAGAACACTCATATAGAATGAAACTATCACAGGCTATAGGAAATATTATTAAGAGTCTTAAGCCGTTGTTTCATTCTTCTTCTTTGCTTGATAAAATGAGAGATGATAGAATGTAAAGTTTAAGTTTTACTCAATGACTGATCCTCTGCAACAAGTGTTTCATTGAATTATGATAATTCAGGTGATTTTACAAAAGTGTAGTTTGAATTCCAACATACCATATCTTCCTGACGAAATATATATTTAATTCGTATTAAGATATTGCAGTTTTGAATTAGTGTGGGCATCAAACACTTTTAGCATGCTGTCTTTAATGTACTTCTGCCCTCTCGACTGTTAAGTCTTTGTGTATATCTTTAATTCTGTTAACATGGTGCTTTAAGCATTTAATACAGCATTTTGAGATGAAGCAAATATTCATAATCATTAAGTAGTTTAGATGTAATTACTTGCTTGTTTAAAAGAGCTTATTTAGAGGCATAAGAGTAGCAAGAACTTGAAAAGAATGGAGCTACTATATTTACAAATAATGATATGGCGTTATATATACGAGCATTTATATCTGGAAACAAATATTGACCTCTCTGTGAATTGCCTTATTTCCTAAACCTTATTATTTCCCATATTATTTCCCACCTTAATTCACACTACCACAAACCTATTTATTTTGTCAGCACCTGTGAGTTATAAATATGTGTAATCCAATAATTAAGGAAGATAGATAATACAAGTAAGGGGCATTAATGTCAACTGCAAGGATCAACTCTTTTCCCTCAACTCTTTCAATATTTATATATATATGGATCAACTTTTTATTCCCAACTCTTTCAATATTTATATATATATATTATATATTGATCGCAAAAAAATGGAGTCATTCAAAAAATTTATGCGAAATAAAAGCAAACTGAACGAAATATCTGTTTATGTACCTATATGTATATTTTATAATATTGAATAAAATATTTAAGCTTTATATCATAGTCAAGTATATCCTATAATTAAATAATATAAATAATATAAATAATTAAATATTACTATTACAGTAATATTAATATTAACAAGCCAGTAATATAAACATTATAGAAGCACTTACCCAGCTAGTACGGCAGACTTTCTTATCCAAGCGTGATATATAGCCAAGAATATAACTAAAAACGCTACAATTATGGCTATCAGACGTCCATTTGCTTTTCTCTCCTCCTAAAAGAACAAAGAAATTTTATTTTATTTTTTATTTTAATATTTAAATATAAAATCATGAGTGTGCATTTAAATATGTAAATTTGATTAAAAATTATTTTAAACGTCTCTCATAAATATTTTTATTATTAATAATAAATTTTATAAACACTACAAAGGAAGCTGTAAGAATCGACTTCTTTTATATATAGTATCAATTGCGGGAAAAACTAAATAATATGGAAAATTGTTTATGTTTACGTTTGTGTGGAAGTGTAGAAGTGTGAGTTTATGAATAATGTGGAAATTGTTTACAATTAAATATTTGGAAATTCAGTGAAATGCTTTTTCTATTCTTAGAATATTTTCATAAGACATGCTTCAGATATGCAGCATACTAATCCATTCTGTACATACTGAACGGTAAACGAAAGGTCAACATCTGTTATGTGATTTGCAAGACTATAGACTATTATGACTTTGGGGTTTAGTTATATTCCTAAAAATAGTTATTTAAATTAAATAGGTTTTTTTTAAATGTACTTTTAAAAACCACATTATTAAAAATATAAATTGAATTTATTTATAATACTCTATAGATATATGTTATTATAATGTCAAGAACTGATAATATCTGCTGCGCAACCCTAAAGAAAATATTTGGGTATTAGAAGTAAGTGAGACCATGATATGCCTGCGGAAGTGCTTTGACCCCCTGAAGGTAATTCTATATCAAATAAAACCATTGAGTTGTTGCTTGAGTTAAAGAAAATCATTGTTTATTATTTTTTAATTTTTGTTTCAAAAATTCAAAATTCTAAAATAATTTTTTGTTGTAAATATTCATTCATTATTTATTATTTCAATTGATGAATGCCATTAGAAAATTGTTTAAATAAGTTTCACTACTCAATTAAGCTTAAAGCAAAAGGCAAATAATATTCTTACTATTTCCTTTCGCTTGCCATATCGGAAAATGGCTTAATACATTCAAATTTAACAAAATATATTAACATAAATAATAAAAAAATTATATATATGAATATGTTTATATAATTATATAACATTTCAATCATTTGTTTATTTGTTAAGAATTATGTTAGATAAATATATAAACTATAATTTCGTTAATAAAAAATTTTTTTATGAAGTAAAGCCTTTGTTCTACATGAAGATCTTATAACGTATGGAACAACAAGACTCGATAAAGTGGGTTCAATACCATATTTGGTTGAGACAATTATTTATTATTATTATTAGGGGATGTGGCCTATCCGAAGAGATAGATTGTAGACTCTGCTTGGAGGCAGAGGAGACAACCAGCCACATTCTATGTGACTGCCCAGCTTTGATCTGGGCCAGGAGGAGATCTCTGGGTCGGGAATTGCTAGCATCTTCCGACATTAGGAGGTCCTCAACAACCGACATTCTGGCCTTCATTCGAAAGGCGGAATGTCTTTTGTTCAGTTAGGGTCTGTTGTAGCACAAAAGATCAATCATGGTCGCGGTGCTCTGCTCAAATGGGAGCTAATACCCTGTTCTTTCTTATCTTAGGGGATGTGGCACTGCAACCGTTGAGTCTATTGTGCATCCTTCTGGGTTTAGAGTAGGTCTCTAAGCACTGTTGCGTCAATAAATATACAAAGTAGTTTATTGCCTCTTCCGTAAGAATAAACATTGGTTGAGACAATGGAACTTAGAGAAATAATCTGAATCCCTGCTGAGTGCGCAATAGTTTTCTAAGTCACAGTGCAAAATATACCAAATTATTAAATAAGCCTTTGTCAATAAAAAAAGACGAACCTTCAGAAAAATTGTTTATTTGTTGTTATGATATAATATAATTCTTCTTATAATTCTCTCTTACAAGGGTATGGAAAGATTGTATTTAAGCTTTGTCAAATTGTCACTAATATAAGTGGTATAGATTCACAGATCAATGGGGCTTAAGCAGATGTAATAAGTTAGATAATTTAACGTATGCATAACAATATATGGTATATAAGTTTAGATAGGCACCGTCAGTAAACGGATTTATCATGTTAAGTAACAGATTAACAGTAACCTTAGCATAAGGAATTAATTTGTTGTTTAAAGTTAAGAAATTAAAACTTATAAAAATAATAAATTACCTATGAGAAGTCTAACACATTTGTAATAACAATGGATCAAAAGCTAACAATTGCTTATTTAGTGTTATTACAATTGGTTAGAAATAAAATAAAAAATTGTTAATTTTATAGTTAATAATGCAAGAAAATATTTTAAAAAATATATAAATATGTGAGTTAACCATTATAAGCGGATCTTTCTTGTAATGTGAGTAATGACCATTCATATTTATAGTAAATAGCTTTATATTGTATGCTTGTACCAAAGAATCTAGAATTCTAGACTTATACTAGACTTTTCTAGACTTATAGACTTATCTTTGTCATATTTATAAATCCGATACGATAATAGTTATAGATAATTCTAAGATAAAACACGCTATGGAAAATATTATGATGTTTCAGATGAAGGCAGCTATAGAATTCGTCATTTTATAAAAAAATTTTTATTGATTTGAAAATAAGTGCAATATCTGAAGAAATTTATTATCTGTGACTTTATTATTGTGCGGCTTATGATGAGGATCCTGTCAGAAAATACCAAACCCAGGAGTATATTATTTTGGTAAATAAAATATTAATACTATCCATAAACTCATTTACAAGTAGTACATACTATTAATCAGATTTTTAACAATTTCAGCTGTTTTTATTAACAAAAAAAAAAAACACCGGTTATCTTTAGTATCAAGAGAATTCTGATATATAACGGTTACTTTACTGAAGAAAACAAAAAGCATTTATTAAAATGTTGATTAACATGCAAATATACTAAAATTATACTTTTTATTAATATAAAAATACTAATTGATATGTAAAGGATTTAACACTGATTTTAAAATAATTTAAGAATGTTACTGTGATTCCTGAGATCCTCTCAAGCCTGGTAACTTATTATGTGCTCTTCTAAATGGTAAAGCTCTTAAACCAATTCGACCCTTTAGAATTATGTTAACGATTTTAAAAAATTTTCTTGAAAAACTATGTATAAGCCATCACTATCTGAATAGATCTATTTCATAGTTGAAATAATGGTAGAGTAAGAATAATGGTAGAGATTAAAGAAAGTAATTTATTAATATATTCCAAAATTGTCCATAGGAGAAAAAAAATTTCTCTGAATTATTTTTAAAACTCTTTAAGTATTTTTTTCCCATATATATATATATCTTAAGTTAGTATAATATGGCACAATACAATAATCCAACAATGGATGCAGCGACATGGACAGTTCGAGTTTGAGCTCTTATATCTATAATAATTATGATATGGAAATATAACTATAGCGTAAAGTTTAACTACAATAAAAGTATATGCTAAATGACATTTCATTGTCTTAAAAGCGGAAAGGAAAGTTTAAGTTAAAATATACACAGGCAAACTAAGAGATTGACATATACATATCGATTCATTCTGTTGATCTAAACAATAATATGTCTACCTTATGGTATCTCTTTTTAAATACATTACAAGCTTTCAGACAACATTAAGATATACCTAACGATCCTTATGATCTTCTATATTTTGATAAATCTATCTATTATTTCCTATTTAGAGCTAACAAAAATATTCTAATATATTACTGATTATTTCTGGTTTATACCATATTCTTGTAATTAATTTTTCGTATTTATTAATTCTAACAAAAATACACTTTATTTTCTATGTTGAAATTTATACAAATTATTTTCATTATTCTACTTTTTTAATTTTTTTTTGTTTTTTGCCGCCATCTATATAATTATTCAACCACCCATGTAGTTTGCGAATATAAAATCTTTATAGCTTACATGTGCAATAAAAATAAAATTTATATTTTTTTTAAATAAAAGATTAAAAAAATTAAACATTAAACAAAAAAAGAGCAATAATAAAAATCAAATAATTGAAAATAGGACAGGAGTCAACGAAAAAACTCACCACAAAAACGTAAATATTTAATATTCCACCATTGTAACTAGTATGAAAATGGAGTCCGAAACTAGCCTTTGGCGTTAAAAAATATTTTAATTATAATAACTGAATAAGAAAATTTTGCTTTATATTTATAATTGTCTTTTTAATTCCTGTTAATGTATTTAAGATCGCAAAATATTATTATTATACAGTAGGTAAATCCTTTTGTCACTGCACTCTTACCCGCCCCTTTTTTACAATTATTACTCATATGCTGTGTAATTTTTCTGAATATAATAATGCAAATGACTTATTATAATATAAATCTCTACTTTATTGGTTCAATTGAGTTTTTGTTTATAAACATTTAACCATTAAGTTAGTAATTTCTATATATATTTATATTCTATATATTGTTTAATGATTCATAAAATTTCAATTTTTAGTTTAATATAAAATTGCACATGGAATGGAATAAGTGTGAAGTTCTTATGTATAATCCAATATTTTATATATATATTTTGTTAATATATATCCTCAGGGTACTGAAACTGATTATGGACTAAAAAAATATTGATCACAATAAAATATATTTTTTTAAACTAATTTAAAAAGTTGTGTTATTTAAGCAATTGAGCAAGTGGTCCGCTTAAAAATATATAAATTACAGAATCTTAGACATTTGTTTGGAACAGAGCACTGCAGCTAACAGGTGCTCTGTACTTCGGTTAGATTAGATTTTATTTAGGTTATATACATATATTGCGTAAATTATGACTTATGCCGAGGGCCGTTTTGAGCGCAAACGGTTAAAGCCATATTGTATATTTCTTGTTTAATCATATTATTATTGTATATTATTATTATTGTTGTATTATTATTATTGTATTGTTCTGATATTATTGTATAGTACAAGTAATATGAGAAACATTTATGGTAGTTTGAAATTATACTACAAGTTAGACTGTCTTTAAACTTTTCGAACTAAACCGTCACTTTCACTTTGAAAACATTTTTTTTTGTAATACCCTATTCTTTCTAATTCACTTATAAATATACTCGTCATGGTTTATTTTCGAACTAAACTTTATCTTCAAAGCCGTAATTTTTTATTGGTAAAAGCCTCTTCTCTCTGATTCCAATCTCTCTTCACTAATATCCAATAATCACTATTAGGTAAGCCTTTTTTTGAACTCTTCGAACTATATAATAAACCATGATTTTCACTTTGAAGTCATTTATTATGATGGCACCCTTTATTCTCAGATTGCAATGTCATTTCATTAATCAATATTCAATCTTTCTGATCGCTTCTATAATAAATACATATCAATTTGTTCATATATGACTTTTTGTTAATTAATTGCATTTCTTCTTTCTATTATATATCCAATTATTTTGATCAGATTAATATTTTGGACGATCCAATTTACTTACACGGGACTTTTTATCCATTATTGCCTTTAAGTTTTCCTGTAAAATTTGCTCTTCAGTCTTGGAATCAACAGACATCTTTTTAGTAAGTGGTATATCTGTGGCGCCATCTTTTTTGGTGGAACTCTTCGTTGGATTGGACATAATTTTATTTGGACCGTTTTATATTTTTAAATTTTATTACGAAATTTTAAACCGAAAACGAGTAGGAAATTTTCCGCCTTTGGTATCGAGCAGTACGCATTTCAAAACTTGACTGAACTTATTTCTGAAGTTGGGAAAAGAATTTTCGTGAATACTTTATGCAAGGTGCGCAAAATGTTTAGTATCTCTGCGCACAAGTTAAACAAATTTTATAGATTGTTTGCAAATCGAACCGAAGTCCATGAATTCCTTTTATTTGTTTACAGAGCAATAAATTACCTTAATATAGATAAATACGAGCTATTTTTTCGATTTTCATAAATTTCAATATAAAATCGAACACAAAAGCGATCGTTTCAATAATAGGCATTCCTTCCAATCACTGTCGCTGCTGTTTGCTGTTTGCTGTTTACAGGGTTTGTGAGCGATGAGAGAAGAGTGCAATAGGGAGCAGGGGGATTAATTAATTAAAAGACGATTAATACATATAATTAATATTGAAGTACAAATAGTTCACAATTTTTATGCGAAAATTTCAGTTTACATATAGAAAATTTATTTTCAATGAAACTCGAATATTGAGATCAATTGCAGTAGCGTGGAAAATTTGGGCTATAAAAATTTTTATTGTGAAAAATAATTTTTTATAAGATTTTTTTTTATAAACAAAATAGGTAATAAAAAACAACACAAAAAGAATGAATACAAGGAAGTGAAACATTATTTTTATTATTATTTATTCGTTGTAATATTTTTCGGTCAATATTTTGGTTGAATAATATAAGTACTTAAAATGTTAAAATTCTTTTAATGATATAAACAAAACAAAAAAAAAATTATATAAAATTGTTAAATTATTTCCGCACTTGAAAATTATGCAAAACAATTTCTATTTAATTCTGTAAGCCAGCTTTTTTTAACTATAAACAAAATGAAAACGATCCAGAATATCAGGAACTAATAGTGTGTTCAGATAATCATGACTGCGTGGTAACTTAAGGAGAGAAAAGAAGGAATGTATAATTTTACAGGGCACAGCATTCAAAGGCCATCTATATACGGTAACACAATAGGCCAAAGCGAATCCCCTAGGGATCGCCGGTATAACCTAACCTATTGCAAGTATATGCAAGTGCAGAAAAGAGAATAACGCAATTCCGAGAAGATTTAATCTTCTGCTGTGCGAACAACAATTAAAATTTTTTTCAGGTATAAAATTAGAAAGTAATCACAACAACATTGTGATAACAATTAAATTATCTGCTTTTGTTAATGTCAGACAAAATTTTGTTTTATGGTCGTAATATAGAAAGAAAAAAGTTAGGTTCCCAAAACATTCATTGCTTAATGACAAAAATAAAGTAAAATATTATCATGATGGAAACAGTTTTGGGGTAGGAAAACATGGAATTTAATTTTCTAAATTTTTAATATATATGTCTTCTTCTTCTTGTTCTTGAGTTAGTGCTATTACGCACTTTTATTCTATAATGGCTGGGGGGCTTATCACTGCCCCACACTAGGCTTTAACTAGGCTAAGAAATCATATCATTTATTTGTCTTTTAGTTGATGACGGATCTTAAATCAGCATATCTTCCTGAGAATCCAGAAGTGGACTTGAGGATTGTTAGGGCGGGGTTAAGTAGCGTATCAATTTTACGCTTAATAATTTTAGATCTCCGTCTCTGATATATTTTTTTATATATGTCATTTTAGTTTTAAGAGTATTGTATATACTTACTGCTATCCTTCTCTAAATCAGTATAGGATATGTGCTCCGGCCACCATATTTTCAGTATTTTTCTTAGGCGTTTGTTTACGAATATTTAGATACATAATTAAATAAAGACCGTGTTTTTCCACTTTTCGCATCCGTAATACAAAGTTAACGAAGCTTAGTGCGAGTGCTTATTTGTTTAGACTTCCACATATTATTTAAACTGTCCGGTCGAGACGTCTTCTTTAGCACCACTTTTATCCGCGATGATGCTGCTCATAGGTACAAATTTTTGCATATATTAGAAGGTTAACAAATATTTTTAAAAACTACTATAATTGGGAACTAAAATATTGGTTTATTAACAAATATAAATTATATTAATTATTTGTGAAAAACAATATTACCGAAAGTTATTCTTTGGTATTATATATTCTTTACAATATTACTTGAATTCCCGTTACAACCATGTTTGCAAACGTCATTATGAATATAATTTTTATTGATGACTGTTTCTTTTTTATGTTCATAATCAAAAACAAATATATAAATTTGGTCACTTTGGTCTTTGGTCACTAAAAACTAAAAACTGCTAAATATTTTTTATTTTTATATTTCTGTTTTAAAATGATAGAGTAAGTAATAGTAAGTAGTAAAAGAGTAAGTAGTAAAAGTAATAACAAGTTTAATAATGAATTAGAATTAAAATCATAAATCAAATTGAAGAGGAATCAAAATTCTTTTATTTATCAATAATAAACAATAAACAATATCAATAATAAACTCACATTGTATACCAAATACATTTGGAATTTTTATAAATACATCACTAAAACGTAAACAATTGATCATATGACGTAAAGAAGTGTGGTTAAAATGTTTGCGATTTACGTTTTTGAAATTTCTCACCCTGAGTTGTTGATTGAAACTGCGCCCTTAACATCTGTGTTGTCGTGGGACATTTTCACCAAGAGTTTGTTGCAGAAATACGATTTTTCATTCTTGAAAATTTGTTGTGCAAATGTGTGGTTCAGTTTTATAATTGCATTGCTTAAACGCACATTGAATAGTTTGACGTGTTAAGTAAAGTGCAAATAAAATAAAATGTCTCGTAGTCCTGGCCCTATACCCGATCGTTGGCTTCGCTGTCCGAGAAAATGTGTACATGTCATTTCGGAGAAATTTTTAGCATTTAAAACTCCGTTAAGCAATGCATTTGATAGTCAAATGCCAATGGAGTGTGTGTTTCCACCTGATATGATTTTCGGATATTGCAATTCGCTTAAGGTGGGTTGACAAATATTGTCATTCAGTCATTAGTTTTCATTAGTCAAATTGATTCTTTCAGCTGAAATTGGGTTTATGGATTGATCTAACAAATACAAAACGTTTTTATAATCGCGAAATTGTTGAACAAAATGGAGCACAATATATTAAACTGCAATGCAGAGGACACGGTGAGACGCCATCAATTGAACAAACACGTTCGTTTATAGAAATTGTTGATAATTTTATAAATGAAAGACCTTTCGATTTGATTGGAGTGCACTGCACGCACGGCTTTAATCGCACAGGTTTTCTAATAATTTCGTATTTAGTGGAGCGTTTAGATTGCTCAGTTGAAGCTGCATTGTCTATGTTTGCGGTAGCACGTCCACCTGGAATATATAAACAAGATTATATAAATGAATTGTTCTCTCGTTATGAGGAGGCAGAAGAAGCAACTGAAGCACCGGAACTACCCGATTGGTGCAATGAAGTTGATTATGATGATACTCCAAGTGGTACATCGAGTAGCGGGCGCAAACATAAATTAAATGATGAAGAGTCAACATCTCAACAAGAAAATAGCAATGGTACATTGAGTGATGATGACACCAGTAGTTTAGGTAATGACACGGAATCTAAACCAGAAAGAGGCAACAAACCACATAAAAAACGTAGACGCGAATTAATCATTAAAAATCCTACATTTATGGCGGGTGTGCCAGGTATTTCTGTAGTTTCTGAACAACCACTTTTGGGTGATCTACAGCTAAAAGTGCAGGCAATGTGTGGATGGAATAAAAGCGGTTTTCCTGGTGCACAACCCGTATCGATGGACCGAACAAATCTAAAGTTTATACATGAACAACCATATCGTGTGTCATGGAAGGCTGATGGCACAAGGTAGCCAATTAATTACCATTTTACCATTTTAAAATATTTATTTCAAAAATGTTTCTTATCCATTCAAGGTATATGATGCTCATCAATAAACGCGATGAAATATACTTTTTTGACCGAAATAATTCATGCTTTCAAGTGCACAATTTAACATTTTTGAAAGCTGGTAATTTACTAGAACATCTAGAAAATACGCTGCTTGATGGTGTATGTACTGAATAACTTAATTTTAATAAAAACAAAATAAAATAAATAAAATTGTTAATTATAAATAGGAGATGGTTATCGACAAACATCAAGGACAAAATATACCACGTTTTTTAATTTATGACATTATCAAACTCGGAAACGAAGAAATAGGCAGGCAACCATTTTATCCAGATAGATTACGTTGTATTAAGAAAAAAATAATTGGTAAGGTTCTTTTTTAGAAATTAACAACTAAAAATAACACTTCTCTGTTAGATCCACGGTATGAAGCTATATGTAGGGGCGTAATAAATAGAACAGAAGAACCATTTAGTGTGAGAAATAAGGATTTTTGGGACATCAACCAAGCTGGTGCTCTCCTTGGCGAGAAATTTGCAAAATTACTAAGTCATGAACCAGATGGCTTAATATTCCAACCATCAAGAGATGTAAGTAGTACTTATATTATAACAATTCCATATTTTATAAATATGTGTAATAACAGCCATACAATGCCGGAGTTTGTCCTAACGTACTTAAATGGAAGCCATCTGATATGAATTCTGTTGATTTTCGTTTAAAAATTACTATGGAAAGTGGTACTGGGTAAGTTCTGTGAAAATATGAAAAACAACAAAGTATAAAAAATATTTAAATTTATTTTCTGTGATTTTATAACAGTATTTTACCAAGAAAAGTGGGCTTACTCTTTGTTGGTGGGCAAGATCATCCGTTCGGCAAGATGAACGTTACTAAAGTCATGAAGGATTTGGATAACAAAATAATTGAATGCACTGCTAATAGTGTCGGGCAGTGGGAATTTATGCGCGAACGTACGGATAAAACATTACCGAACAGTTACAAAACTGCATGTGGTAAATATTATTTTATAGAAATCTTAGAAACTAAACAACCTTTGCAGGATGTATAATTACTCTTTTAATTGTACATAATTATTAGATATGACATTATACAGGCACTGTGTAAACAGTAAAAATATTTGTTAAATTATAGTATTTACAAGTATTTACATTTTTATTCTTGTTTTAGCTGTAATCGAAAGTATACGGACACCCGTAACAAAGGACATATTATTGAACTTTATTGCTTCCTATGGTAACCGAGACGATGCCGATATCATGCCACCTCCTGCAACATCTCATATACACCGGGCCGCACCACAAGTTCCGCGGGAAAATTGACAACAAATGCAAAGCGCTATGACAAGTGCAAAACAAAGTGAAAAATAATTTATTAACTGCATATAGTAGCATATTTATTTGTGAATAAATTGCTCATTTAAACTCTTTTAAAAGACATTTTCAAACGAATGTTGTAAATAAAGCAGGCAAACTACTCAATTGGTCGTATAATGACCAAATTTAAAAATTTTAATAAAAACATGGAACTTTATATATTGAATATATTTAGTTTTTACAAATCTAACTTGAAATAATGATTAGATTGTTCATAGTAAGAAATTTTTCTTTAAAAATTTATTTATAATTTTAATCCATATAATAAATTGTAATGTACTGCTGTTAATTATTCTATTTGAAGTTAGATTTACCTAACGCTTTTGTGAGAAACCGTGGCAAAAAGGTAATAAACTTAACTTCTTATTAAGAGCTTAATAAATATGAACTTTTCCTTACGTATATCATCTTAGTATGCTGCCATTCCTTATTAAGCTGTCTTCACTTACTACACCAATATTTAATAGGCACACCAAAGCTGCACCTTGTTCTGCTTGCTTTTTGTTCTTTTCCCAAAAGCTGCTGGTGTATTTTTTTCCATCATAAGCACAAATTGCACGGAACAATTTATCGATACCTTGTGTCTCATAAATGGGTTTCTGTTTCTGTTGTTGACAAGAGAAAGTATATAGCATTGTTTTTGGTAGTTGCGTGTCTGTAATAATGTCATTGTAAAAAGTTTATAAATTTATTAGTTCGAGACGCATACCAGCTGTGTAGTTTGAACGTAGGAATGCTATATTGCACTCAATAACATCTTTTGGCAATTCGGGTACTTCCAATTTTTGACGTTTTAAGTCTGGGCCTTCAACATCGGGTATATGCCCGGGAGCTACTTCACGTCTTCCGAAATTTCCTTTCTCTTTAAACTCTAATTGCTTTGTATAGCAATATTCACCAAGATTCCATATTTCACTATTTGTGGAGAATTAAATATAGATACTCTACATTAGGAATCGTTTAAGCTCAACTCACCATATTTGCTGCAGAGTTTGGCATTGGAGGAATTTTTTACCACGTGGAGTTTCTTGTAGTTCTTTTAATATATTTTGTACACAGTATTTGCTATTGTGCGCTGCATTATCGTAATCAACACTTAGTTTTAAGTACCTATAAATTACATCATCGATTGGTAGCAGACCTATAAATATAACAAACCATTACGATTTTGCATTGGCCCAAAATTGCAAAAACACTAAGTTACCTTCTTTTCTGAATATGGAAATATTTAACTGTGCCGCTCGTGCTATCATAACGCTATTAGCACCACAAAGCTCTTTAAATTTGAATATATCGGCATATTTTTGAATGTCTCTAGATCCACCATTAGCAATTACAGGTATATTCACACATTTAGCGATTTCCCTTATAAAATCTAATATAGATATAAAATTTTTTATTTATTAATTATTTATCTGTATAAGTATAATTATACCCGGATGCGGTTCATGTTGTGGCCGTTCATCACGTGTTCTAGCATGTATAGCAATTGCTGCAATGCCAGTAGCAGCAAATCTTTGCACCAGCTTTATAGTATCCTCTAAATTTGGAAGAATTCTAAAAAAAAGAAGTTTACATTCTTATTTACACGATTTAATCCTGTGCATGACTGTTTACCTTATCTTACATGTGACAGGAATATTTAAGTTTTCACAGAGTGTACGTAATATATTGGCAGCTTTCTCAGGTGCTGCAAGTAATGCCACTCCCATACCGCCTTTTATTGAAAATTCCTTAGGACAACCCATATTAATATCAATGCCAGCTATATCATTTTGGATCTTTAAGGATATTGAAAAATTTTGTCGATAATAAAGACATTATGTAGGAAGTAAAATTTAAGTTTGTATATAAGCAAATTGAATTAAAAAAACACGATGGTGTTTTGAAACCGGTGTTGAAAACACGATGGTGTTTTGTTTTGCTCAACGTTTCAATTGTGGTTCATTAAGTTAATTAAGTGACAAAAAATAATCATTTAAATCTATCTAATGTAAAATTAGCAAATAAATGTTCATCTAGGTCAGGCCAGTCCAGACCAGATGCGATCGTGGGCTAATACATATTACTGTACAGATTGGAGAACATTTATGGTTGTTATTACAAATACATTATAACATTATAAATACGGTTATAATGTTAAATTTAGTTTTATTAATTTATTTGGTTTATCATAAAAATAAAATATTGTAGTTTTACCAGTACCTCTAAAGAAAATTTGCATAATTGTAGTAGATTAAAAACATGCGACGAGTACTTTGGACAGCTCTGATTTAGGCAATTCATTATTATTAATGCTACCACCTGTTAATGCTTTTGCGCTTTGTATTACTTCATGATGCTTTCTGACTATTCCAGATAGTACAATCAGGTAGTAATCAGTAACAATATAAATTGATAATTTATTTAAATATAGGTCTAAGTGAAACCGAGTTCTGTAACTTAGATGACTATTGTTGGTACTAAACGATAGTTATGGATATTTCTCACAATATCAATGATTTTCACAAGTAATGGTGTTATTATTATTAAAAATAAACGATTTATATTTAAGTATATAAATAAATGAGACAACTTTTAATATGTACCCGAATTGAAAATTGTATGAATATTTCCGAAACACTTAATCGAGCAAAAAATCAGACCCTTGCTTATATCGCAAGGATCACTTGACAGTTTATATTGAGACATTTTGGTATCGTTTTTTTTTTCATTTAAATTGCAAATTTGATTTTTTATTTGCTGTTCATTTATTTCTTGAAACTGGAATATATATTATTAACTAACGTTGACTAATAAATTCACTTTCTTTCAACAAATATTTACCAGCTTTCCCACTGATAAAGCCCGTTGCGCATTACTAGTGCCGAGTTGCAAAACTACTTTGCTCCGCTCTTTCTCACATGTGCGAAACACAATGGTGCCGTCAGATGGATCAACGAAATCTATGGTATCCAATGCAGCTGTTGGAATAAATATATATACTAAAAGATATGACAAATTAAATATAGAATTTTTAGTTACAATTAAATCTTCTCTTGCTCTTAATTAATTTTAAATCTATTAATTCCTCTGTGTAAACTATTTCGGCGCCAAACTCTAGTGCCAGTAAACGCATTGGTAATGTACCAAACCGCACCATTGGAGCTAGTATTACTTTATTTTTGTAATTTAATTGTTTTTCAGTTTCCACAGTCATTTTAAAAAAATAAATTCAATAAATTAATTTTTGTTGTAGTGCAAATTTATTTTTTATAAAACATGTGTTCGAGCTGTCAAAATCAGCTGATTCCAATTTTGCTTTCCTTATGTTTACTAACAACTTTTGTTGTTGTTTTTGGAATGCCCAATGCAAAATTGTAAACATAAGGTTTTTGTTTATGCTTTCACTAGGCTTCTGACAGCAAGTCATAAAAGCAGTACTTGTACGGTGAAATCATTATCTACGTTAAGTGGAGGTTATTACGCTTGCTGGAATAATAATATTTATTATATTATCGTAAGCGATATTTGGTTATTGTAAACGAATTGTTGTGGAACATAGACTCTGCCGATTCATGAACTTATGCATCTACTATTGCAATCTTCATTAAAACAATTTTTTAAATGTCCCCAGAATTTTCATAGAAGTATAATATATTTTATAAATATATTATATATATTTTATAAATATATTATATATATTTTATAAATATATTATATATAGTATTGGATATATATTTTATAAATAATTTATATATTTTATAAATATATTATATATATTTTATAAATATATTATATATATTTTATAAATATATTATATATATTTTATAAATATATTATATATATTTTGTAATATAGAGAAATGTGTGAAATATCATACAAGCACACGTCGATTTACTGATAAGTAAACAGACAATCTAAGTAGATTATTCTACACAATAACGAAAAAAAATATTTTATAGGGTTATATTTATATATATATTATACACAATATTAAATTCGTAGCACATTAACAGTTTGTTTATATATTAAAATAGAACTTGTGTTTATTTATTATCTAACTGTATAAACTTAATAATACATCTGTTATTTACATATATATTTTTTGTCGTTACATTTAAATACTTCATATACGTTTTACGCTAATTCAATACATTAATCCCAAAACCTAAAGCTTTAGAAAGCAGAGGATAAAATATTGTTTTACGTTTTAAACATTTTTTTACATTCATTAGATTAAAAACAAAAAACAATCGTTGTCTAAAATATTACGTTACAATCATAAAACAAAGAAAGTAATAACAGCAATATTTGTGAATTCTAAATAAATAATAACAAATTTCTACAAATTTTTCAATAAAATATCAAACACTGTTGCTAACAAAATTAATTGGTTCAGGTAACTAGCCATATGGATTGTGCTTTTTAATCAAAAACATTTGTTGAATTTTATGTATTTTCATTCCGCCGCTTATTTATTCTATGGCATTTACAACACTGTTCTACCATTCCTTTCCAACATTGTAAATGAAAACATGAACCACACCGATCGCAACGAAATGTATTCTTTTGCCAAGGGTATATGACTTCACTTTTATCGCAATATTCACAAATGAAACCTCTACCAATGCAGAGCTGTAATTCCGTATTTATTAAAATAATGATTTTTTATTTATTTCATATTTTCTACATACCACACAATTGAAAATATGCGCTTCGCAATTGGATATCAGCTCATCAATGGAACGTTTCATACTTTTATTTTCTACATCAATAAAATCGGCCATTGACCACACGTCTAGTTCACTTGCAATATGATTTGGTATAGCATCAAAATATTTGTTTTCCCTTTAAGCATAATCTATGTAAAATGAATTAATTCAATAAATAATATGCCACTCACTCAACAGCAAAACGACATGCTCGTATGAAGTCTTTAACAAAGCCAAGTTGAAAACGTTTTTTACGCGCGTTCCGCAGTATTTTATTTTGTATATATAACGCAGGATTAATATCAGGCACATAAAATAAAGGATACGAATACATTTGCTCTAACAAACGATATGCGAAGACGCTTACTGGATAGCACTTAAAGTCCCACCTTAAAAAGAATACAAATTGGTAAGTAGATTAAAAACTGAAGAGTGCAATATAATTTTTGCTTTTACTTACAGTTGAAGTATTTTCGCAGGAATGGTAGAAATTTGATTGCGATGACATCCAGTGCAATGATATTTACCAAAATAAGAGCAATATCGAAAGCTATGAATGTAAGATTGCGCGACATGCATTCCACATCCAGCACATAGATTATTTTGTATCTTTATCTGTTGTTTTCTACTGCAGAAGTATTTGAAATTTTTTTTTTTAATTAAAAGAATTCAACAAACATTTAGTAAACTTACTTTGGTTGTGGTTGGTCAGTAAATATAATCTGTGGTCTTGGAGGGGCCCAAAATTTATTTCCACGCGTTCTTGAGCGAACTAAGCTTTCTTCTTGTGTCATAGGAGTTTTTTGACTAGGTAAAGGCAAAAGTTTCTGGGGAGTGTCCTGATCTGAAACTAACCATTTCAGTTCCGAAACTTTGGGTAATTGAACATCGTTAAACTTCGATATCAATGATAAGCCTACTACTTCGGCAGAGAGCAGATCCAGACAATTTTCTCCAACTTCGGCATAGGGAATGTGCTCTTCAACATCTTTTAAAGTTGACTAAAATAATAAAGTTTAAATTTTTTAAGCAGCCAAAGCAATTGTAGAGTCAACTAAAATACTTATTAATCAAATAAATTATTGTTTTAAGTGATAATAAATATTTTGTTTTAACACACAGATCTGCATTTTTTGCACACAGATCCGCATTTTTAAATTAAATATATATATAACCTGGAAGTACTTACATCTTGTTCATTACAAGTCCGTTCATCTGTATTTTCTATCCAATCAGTTTTTACTGGGGTTTCTAAATGTAACTTTCATATATTTACAGAACATATGCGATTTACACAAATTACTTTACCTACTTGGGCAGCGCACTCATTTGGCTCCAGTTTAGCCCATTTTATATGCTCTATTGCAGTGATGATCGCTTCCGATATGCGAAAATGCGCGTTTTCTTTTTCCAGTTCAGTATTGTTGCGGGAAAGTTGTGACGTTTTGAGAAATGACGTTAAACTTTGTGATCTTTTCTCCTTGTTTTTATTATCATTTTGAACAGAAGTATTATCCATAGTATTACTATTATTGTTAGATGGATTTAAAGAATAATCAAGAGTACTTATTCCGTCTTCAAATAAATTTTGTAGTTTGTGCGCACGCATTTTTTTTCCATAAATAGGTAAGAATGAGTCTAAAACACTGCTCGATATTGGCGCATTATTTTGTACTTCGGTAGATTTTTCAGTAGTTATTCGATTTTTGTTTAGATTGGCATTATGATTAATAGACCAACTTGTGTAAGTTGGTGGAGTATTGAAAAGATTCGATAAAAAATTATTAATAGGACTAACCGCTTTGGGCTGAAATTAATAAAAACTGACTATAATGTATATATTATATACAATAAATATGTAACGTTTACCTGTTGTACTTCGATATTACTCGATGGTATATTTAAATTCTTTGTGGGTTCTGATGTTGTCACCATGCTTTGGTCCGTCCATATTTTTATATCATCACATTTTATTAAGTCGATTTTTTGACTTGCTGTTGAGTTAAACGAAGAAAGTGAAGCTGAAGAAGCCGAATCTAATTGTAAAGCTTCTGTTAAATTTTTAGGTTTAATTTGTTTGCTGCTTTCAGATAGAAATGTTAATATTTCCTCACTGTTTGTGAATGATTCGTTCGAAGACTTGGGTAAATAATACTTTAAAGCCGTTTCAGCGCTGTCATTTAAATTAGTTACTCTAAATGGAATAGAAGCAGTAACAGTTTTACTTCGAGGTCGTGGTGATTCGTTATCATTTGCATATGAATTAGGTGTAGAATCTTGTTGTAGAAGTGGAAGACTATTAGTCTTACGATACGTTTTTAATACTGGTTGCTGTAAACTGCGCTGAGATTTAAGAATATTTTTCTGTTGTAAAAATGATTAAATGATTAAAATTAAAATAAATTTCAATTAAAAACTAAAATTTATGGAACTTACATGTTTTGGACTTTGTAACACAGGTGGTTTGTTTTCAGTTGGCACGACAGTAAATTTTTTCGGTGGTGATATTGAAAAATTTGGGTGTGAACTAGCACGTTTATGTTGAATGATTTTACTAGGAGCTGGGCTGTATAAATCCGATTTAATTTGACTCAGTAAGCTATACTGATTTAATTCAAATGCTGATAAACATATGAACAGTGAACACGCATAAGTTTCGTTCCTTAAAAAAGCATCATTTTCATAGTAGTACTTTAACAGTTCTTGATCCGATGTCAAGGATTGTAGTGACACACATAAACAATTCGAGCCTAAGCTATGCTTAACCCAATCACTAAAAAAATTTTTAACATTTCGAGGTTTATCCAATATTGTACTTTGGCATGATGTATAAGAGGAATTTGACGTTTGCGTGGAAGAGGTAGAACTATTGAAATCTGAAAATGAATCTCTGATCTGTGTCGACCTCCTTATCCACTCAAAGTCATCAGCTAATTTGTTTAATGCATCCCCCTCTGTTATTGGGATATTAATAGTTTCGTTATTTAATTCGGCATTGAACTTCTGTAAACATAATAAATAATTTTATCATATATTGTATACTACAGCTGTAAAAATACTATGACAGTTAAAATATTGATCCAATGAAGTAATAACAAAGTGCAACTTGCAGCGCAGTTTCTTTCTTGGAAATGTGACAGCATCATTTATTTGTCATCATATTTGTTTTTGTAATCACTTTCTCTTCAGATTCTCTACTTACTTTTTCCTCGAAGAGTGTTGTTCGTAATCCATGTAACAATATATCAACGCAAGCCAATTCCACTGGTTCTACTAAGCCTTGATTTTGTTGCTGGTCACCATCAGTTAAAAGCCACAATTCAATAAATTTCTTCAGATTCGAGAGCAGCGCACAACATTGTGATGAAGCTGTGTACGCATTTACATCAAAACCTGACATTTTCTTAAAAAGTTATTGTTATCAAGTTTGATGATAGGTAAAGACTACACTAAACATTTTTAAACAATTTTTATTATAACAATCGTCTTCAACAAGCAAAACTGCAGATTGTAAACACCAAAGACATAAGAAAACAAAACACAATTCCAGGCAATGGAAATGTCAAAATGGCTCTGTTCGTTTGTGTGACTAGTACAGTTAAAATGACACTCTAAAATAAATATATGGCTCTGTTCGTTGTGTGTTGTGTGACTAGTACAGTTAAAATGACATTCTAAAATAAATATATAAATAATGTATATAGCTTCTAGGCTGTTGCATTTATATGTTTTAGTTATTTACAACAAATATAAATACGCAAAATTTAGTTTGTGTATATACAATACTCCAGCCAAAATTACAAACATGTTATATTACTCCTAACAATATGGCCTTCATATTTGTACCTTTTGAAATCTAGACTTCATTTTTTTTTAGAGCTTGTTTTTTTAAAACCGTTTTATGGATTTTGGGCTTTAATATTCGTGAGATAAAAATTAGTTTTAAAATGAAATTAAATCTATTTAATACTACTAAATATTAAGCAAACATAATAAATAAATTTAAATAGCTGTGTCGTTATTTTCAATTTTTTGTATAAGTATAATATTAGTGAAATAATATACTTTCTATAATATTCTACATCAAAAATAATATATTCCAAACTAAAAACTACGATTTTGGGGCTAACAACGTTATAACCGCATAAGTATCTTTCTTACAGCATTAAATATATATTATATATAATTAAATTTCTATATTTATTTGATATATCTGCAACGAAATATCTTCATTTTTTTTATCCATTTACTGAACATAGAGGATAAATACTTTAAAATAAATTAATTATATACGTTTATGACATCTAACTACAAATTGTTTGATATTCTTCAATCATTTCAGTTGCGGAGAAAACAGTTTATTACACAATGAATCTATGCCCATTTATGTACAATTTATCGACAAACATTATACATAATATACATCTAGTATTTAAAATAAAAAAAAAGAATTATGTAGAAATATAATATATATATAATAATACATCAGCTAAAAATATACAGAATTAATATTAGTAATTTTGTTGACAAATTTTACCTGAATTTTAGGCCGCTTCAGAGTTTTAATCAAATTTAACAATAAAGGGTAATAAACATTAAAAAATTTGTAAATTAAAGTAAATGCAATTCTTCGAAAATATACTGATAACAGCAGATGTTAAGTATTTTGTTTTTAAAAACAAAAATTCAGGTAACAGATAACACAGATATAATTATTCGAGTTTGGATTATAGCAATTACTGAAAAATAACATATTTTTATACGGACAAACTAATTCTTTCGTATTAATACCTATATAACAAATATAAAGCTTGGAAACTAGAGTCTTTTTCAGTTTCCATAATGGTTTTTGCGAAGCCCATCCCATAATCACTTTTGTGCATATTCTGTATTTGCTTACCGTCATATTCTCTAATAGTTATAATCTTTTTTGTGACCAAAAATATATAATAATTTATAATTTCCATGCAGATGACTATCGAAGACAGTCGTAGTATCGGCATAATATTTTAGTATTCTACTAAAAACTTGTTTAAATATAAATAATAAATTACAGTATTTTGTATTTATTTTGAATTTAAATTGTCCAATTAGCCCGCTCAAACAAATCACTAATAACTATTATAGAAATCCATGATATCTAACACATCAGAATATGGTGTTATTAACAAGAAAAGTAATAATAATGTATTGTGCACTTATTACATGTAGAAATATTGATCCAACAGTTTCTTTGGCATAAACAACTTCAAAAGGAGTTAATTATTGATTGTTTAATAATGATTAAAAATGCAAATAATATATTTTTTATGTAATCGATATTAAGATCAAGAAGTAGAGTCAAAAGAATGTGCTTTCTCTAATTGACCTTTAATTCTCTTATGGATTTTCTTTCAATGCTTTTGATTTGTACATTTATATATATAATATATTAATCGCTCTTTATATTTCTTGTGAAAATTATTAAAAATATATAATACTATCTTTAATATATTTTTATTAAAAAGTTAATTAAATTCAAATAATAGAAAATTAAGTGTTCACATTGATTCGCATGAGACGTGTTAATGTATTTTTAATAACATTTATTATATTTAAACGTACTTATTGTTTTAAAATTTTACGGACCTTATTAATGATTTTATCTTATGTTTTTCAATACAAATATGAGTTTTTCATAATGATATCATAAGTTTTATCAGACATAATTTTTTCGAATGCCTGCACATTTTTTTTTTTTGTTATATATGCTAGAATAATTTGATTTCAGTATGTTTTCAAATACAACTCTGTACTCAGAAACAGAGTAGGTAGTTTGACATTTTTTGAAGTATGCGTTTTGTTCCGGCTTTTTCAGCTGCAATTTTATTAGTTGCATTACTTATTTTAAAGTGTTTGGTTAGTTGAGTTTAGTTTTCCAAATTGAAATATTATTAGTGGGTCTTACTTTATGGAACACATCGAAATGAAAGTAGAATTAAATTGTTTGTGACAGTGAATATATATTAATATTTTTGAAAAATATTAATATTAATAACAATAAAATTGTTCTGTGTGAAATAAGTCATTGTGATAATAATTATTAAGAAAGATATTTTAGTTTATTTAAATAAGTGAGCGCATAAAAAACCTCGTCTTTCATCGCATATCAACGCATTCAACGGGACTTGTACAAAATTTGTATCTATACCACTTCGTTTGTTGTATTTGTTTCTATTTCGCTTTACACAAGTGTATTAAACGCGACGCTTTCAATTGACTTTGTCTTTTTTCCGTGAGTCGTCGTACAGTTTGGTTGTGTCTGTCGATCGAAGTAGAGGAAAGCGGTGGTATTAAAGTATTTCTATCTGAGAACACAGAAATTTTTCTAAGTTCCATTTTGTAAGACTTGGAAAAATTTAGAACATTTCTTGCGAAAGTGAAGAAAGTATATTAATCAATTATTTTGATAAAGAATTGCCTGCGTGGAAGTTTTATAAAGTGAAATAATGAGCGTAGATGTGGCTCTTCCTCCTTCAAATGTAAGTAATATTATAATAAATTTCACAAAATTTTATGTAATTTTTATTGCACATTTTCTTGTAAATTTTTGTTTTACTTGGAAATCGAATGGGTGAAACTTAATTTCATTTTTTATATTGTGTGAAATTATAATGGATTTTTGAATAAGCGAAATTTTACTATTTTTAATATATTAACGTGTTAATTATATTTATTTTTTCACTGAAAAATAAAATATTAAATTGAACGATTTTGTTAAAATGGCGACAGGTCCACAAACAGCAACGTAAATTGCAGGCAGGCAGGCAGAAAGAAGCAAGTCAATAAAAAGTGATTTAAAAGTCTACTAAAAAAATGTGTATTTCCTACGGCAGAGGGGTTGAGGAGAGGACAAATCTATTTACTTTATAATACCAAAAAAGCAAGATTTTATATTCGCAAAAGTTTTCTTTGTACGAAAAATATTCTAAGTCATGAAAATTAGACGTAAAGGCCAACAGCAAAACAGCAAAAATTATTGAAAATTTTCTAAGTGACTGGCTGGCAGTTTCTGTCGTGGTTGGTTGTTAGCAAGCGAGAGCACACGAAAATTATTCGTTTCGATTTCGTTACTACTTTGACTGATTTTGCTTATATGCTGGTTGCTGACTGCTCTGCTGTCTGCTGGTACATAGCACCTTACTTTATTCAGCAGAGTTGAGTTCATATTTGAATGAAAATCTACGGACAGGAGTTACGACTTGTAATTTCAGAGACTGGAAATCAGAAACAGAATCAGAATCTGAATCTGGAACATCAAAATATTGCTGCAATTTGCTTTTCAATGAGTCTCAGCTGAAGCACTCACTTCACTTGGTGATTTTGCGCTGTTGCCAGGTTAACAATTTTCTAATTTAAACCTTTCAAAAATTTTCACTGTGCCACACCGACTTCTATATACACGTTCCTTTATATAGAAACATAGATATTTTTGTCAGTGAACTATTTCTTCCATGTTAATCCGTCTCTCTATATGTACTATATTAACCTTGATCGTAAAGTTCTCAAATAGAAAAAAAAAACATTTTATAAACTTCATATATTATAAATATCTCGTTATTTATTAATTATCTTGTTTATTATCAGCTTTGCAGTCGATTTCATAAGTAAATAATACTTGAAGGTTATAGTCATGATCGTCGTAACACTGTATAGTTCGGCGCATTATTTATTAAGCAAATGCTCTTCTAAGTTTTTCTCGTTTAGGTGATACTAGGATTAAAATAATATTCGAACTACTATTAGGTATAAAGTTATTTTAACAGGTTCTTGACATACTTGGGTCCCAATAATTTCAATATCGAGGTCGAGGTTCGTAATTATAAATTTTGTTCATTATATTTTTTATCCTATATATCCCGTAATAATAATGTTAATAATAGAGGTACTATAAGTGAGATAAGATTTTTACTAATCTAATCAATTATTCTTGATCATCGTTAATATTGATAATGATAATGTGATAATGTTAGGGTTTATTATTTATTTATTTTTGATTATCATATACTTCTGTAACTTTCCCTGAAATAGGGAAAATAAGAGATCCCCGTTTATTTGCTTTGTAAATTTTTTCCTATTTTGGTAAATTTTTTTAATGAAGGTCATAATAACTTATCATTATTCTCCAAGATATAAAATATATAGTATAAGAAATATAAAACATATATAAGTTGTAATTAATATATAATTTGATATTTTATGTAACATAATGTGTTATATATTATGTTGTTTAGTATTATATATTATATAATATATGTTATAATAAATTATGGCATGTTATATAATATGTCATATAACATAATATGCCATATAACTTAATATGTTATATAACAATATATCGTATAACATAATATGTATGATGGAGTATGTTATAAAAAATACAATATGCTATATAATAGAATACGTTATATAATATAATAAGTTATATAATATAAATTATAATATTTTTACAGAATATAGTAAAATATATAAAATGCAAAATATCTTAAATTATCTACATACTGTTTTAGTTTATATCATTCATTCATCCCTCTCAATCAATGGAATTCAACACTTCCAAAAGACATTTATTTATATAGAAAAGGCTTGTATATAATGTACATGTGTTACATTTGGTTATAATTCTTGGAGATCTCTGTTCTAAGCTATGTTTAGATAAAATTTAAAAGATCATGAGTTCCTAGTTTTTATTATGTAATGTATATTCCTTGGTTATAATGTAATCTGTATATTTGTTAATAATTTAAGTGAAAAATATATGTTATAGTCACATATAATTATTAACTTAAAATTTAACCCTTTTAATACTTTAATAAATATTTACAGAGAGGTTGTTTAGTATATATATATTATAATATCAATATATTATAGTTTTGTATATTAGATAATATAGGCTATGGTCTCTGCCAATACTTGCCAAATCGGTATCTCTATTGCATACTACCCACGCCTACAGTAATCATTTGATGTTTCTTTCATATATCTTATAGATAAATTTTTTTCGATTTTATTTTATTTATCTAACAAAAGCATTTGATATTGTAGAAAATCTATTTTTGAAACTCGTAATGCGTTGAATTATATACAATTTTGTGAATATATCACATTAGAACCAAATATTACAATAGATTGTTATTAATTCCTAAGAGATAGTTAGTGTTTTAAATGTTATGTGTACAATGGACATAATTTTTATATGCAAAATATGGTAAGTCATATTGCATATATGCATTTCCTCTCACATTTTTATTTGTTTTTATTTTAATAATAATCTTCTCGGTTTTGGGGTCATGAGTGTGCATAGAGAGCTTCTTCCTTCACATTTTTCAAACATTGTTTTTATTATTGAAATACATTCATTTTTATATATGTATATTAATTTTATTCTCATTTAACTAACTCATCATTTCTTTAGGTTATTTGCCCCATTTTCAGTGTTGTTGATTCATTGTTTAAATTTTGTTTCGCTTTTAACTTTTCACTTCAACAATTCACGTGTGTCTTTTAAGTTCCATGCTTCGGAGCGTTCTGTTATATTTTTTGTTTTTTTTTTTTTGTTTTGGAGAACGAAAAAAGATATATGTCTACATATTTAGATCAAAAAAAAATCTAACAATAATCGATATATAATATAATTTGTTGTATATATATCAATAATGTAATAGTAAAATGTATTCTACAATACAATACAATGACATAGTATATAGAAATTATTTAGATGTGTTGTAATGTAGCGTTCTTATTAAGTCGTTGCGGATGTAAACCTTTTTGCTTCAAAATGCAATTTTATAAATGATTTACTTTGACAACTTATGCGCAATTTTGGGTGGAAATGTGTTAGTAGGTGACTAAGATGTTTTGTATTATACCTTAAACGATAATATATAATGTATAATTTATTAAAAGATGTATGAAATAGAAATATATAGCTTTAATTTGGGATAAAAATTTCCAAAGCAAAAAAAAAAAAATCGTATTATTTTTTTTTCTCTTTACATTTGCCATGACACATTTTTTTTTGTAGTTTTCTGCTTAAAAGTCATTAACATTTCCAAAAGCGATCCAACCACGTGTTACTGTCAACAAAATCAATACACCTCCCCTCTGTTCCTCTTCCAAATATTCTATGTATAGTTTGCTTTGTTCTCAAAAGTTGTGTATTTCTGTATGAGAGACAAGAAAAAATCCAACAAATTCTGTTGTTAGGTTTATTGTTGCTGTTGTATTTGTTTTTAATTCATCACATTATTTTTTGTTATCAAATTAGTTCAAATTTCAGTAAATTGTCGTGAAAAATAAATTTAGTAGATTTTTATTAAAAACTGTTTTAAATACGAAATAAGAATCTATAATTATTAAAGTAAAATTAATTAGTTTTAATTTGTGCTGAACACGTTTTTTCATCACACGCACTTCAGATAGAATTGCTATATATATGTACATATATATTTATACAAAATTTTCCTATTAAAAATTACCCCTAAAAAGTGTATAATTTAAAATAAAGAGGCATGCTCAAGGGTGGCTTCACATCATTCAAATGTACCTCGATATGCATCTTATAATTTCGAGCATACAAACCAGCTGATGATGATGTGCTAAAGTAAATAAAGGCAAAGAACTTCGGCAGCAAAGCAACGAGACTGGTTTGACGGGGTTACATCTCATATACACACTCGAAAGAGACTTGTGCATATGTTAACATATTGTAACTAACCATACAGGTTCTTTAGTGAAGTTTTTATCCCTTCATTAGTAAATTTTCAGCACTAGTTGTTAGCATCTAGGTACACATAATGTAGATTTTTTTTTTTCGTTTTAAAATACATATGTATGTGAAATTATTTACCTCAATTAATTGCCTGTGCTAATTGTTAATGTGTTCGGTTTTCTAATCTTTTAGGAGGATAAACCACGAAATGTTGAAAATGGTGTGCAATTAAACGGTATGAGCAATGGACATCATAGCAGTAAACACAAGTCTTCCAGCAAGGATAAGCACCGCGATAAGGATCGTGATAGAGATCACAAATCTTCTAAGGAACATAAAAGCAGTAGTCGGTAAGTTTCTCTTAATTTTAATTAAAATTGATTTGTAAACAAATTTTTTTTCAAATTTCTTAAATTTTAATGTTTTTGAAATTATTGGTATTAAAATGTTTTTTGTATTTATGTTTAATTATGCTTTTCAGGGATAAGGAAAAACATAGCTCTTCTAGTAGTAAGGATAAGCATCGTGATAAGGACCGTGATGGCAAACATAGCAGTTCAAGCAGTCGCGATAAGGAACGCGATAAAAGTAAATCTAGTTCTGGCCATCATAAGAGTTCTTCGAAGGATAAAGATCGCAAAGATAGAGACCGCGATCGCGATCGTGATCGCAAAGAAAGTAAAAGCTCTAGTTCATCAAGTAAAGATAAATCAAGTTCATCCAACCATAAATCAAGTTCGTCCAGTTCACGTGATAAAGATAAGGATCGCCATCATAAAAGTTCATCATCATCTAAACATAAACATTCCAGTTCAAGCTCCTCCAGCTTAAAGAGCAATTCATCAAACAATGAAAAACCTATATATGATGGTGAGTTTATTAAGCCAGAGCCTTTATCGCAAACAAGTTCAAACGGATATGATTTTCCTATGGAAGATGTGAAGAAACAAGAGCCGTCGCCTACAGAAGGATATGATTATTATGATGGCAATCAAAAGAATGGTTATGAAGAAAAACCTAATATAAAAACAGAAATCAATTTTAACATTTCACAAGCTAGCTCTTGCGATTATTCATTATCACAATTCAGGGACGATGAGCCTTCATTCGTTATTAAAAAAGAAGCAAGCTACGATGATGACATTATGATGAAAGAAGAGGAAGAGGACGAAGATGATGACGTACCCTTAGCCATGCGTAAAAGTGTTTCTACTATAAATGGTATTGAAGATGATGATGATGATGAAGATATACCACTAGCAAAGAGAAAAGCTGCGCCAGCTGAATCAGATGATGATGACATACCTTTATTAGCACGTAAGAAGATAAAAAAAGAGCCTAAACAAGCAAAGACCAAGAAACGTCAGACTGAAGTTGAACAACCTAAACAGAAAAAAGCTAAAAAGGTCAGTAGAATTGTTTTGAATTTTGAATATTTCTATAAGTTAAAAATTATATTTAAGTCAGCGTATAAAATATTCTGCCAAAAAATATACATGTATTTCTAATTAAATCATAAAATAACAATAAAATAGAATGATAAAATAAAATAATAAAATAAAATAATAAAATAAAATAATAAAATAAAATAATAAAATAAAATAATAAAATGAAATAAATTAAATTAAATAATTAATATATAATTATTAAACATTTTTGTATAAAACATAGTAAAACATATATTATATATAGTATACAATATAACAATAATACAATTTACCTAAATATAATTTAATTAATGAAATTTTAGGCTTCAGCGACTGAAATCAAACAAGAAGTTGCTTCTCCTGTTAAACGTGGTAAAAAAGTAAAAGTCGAAGAAGAGGAAGAAGTGTGGAGATGGTAAGCTTTTTTGTATAAAATAATTTCTATTTTTTTCATTAATGGCAATGCTGTCGTCTGCTTTGACAAGCAGCTGTCACATTAAGTTTTAGTTGAGGTTATGTTGTGTATAAAAAAGTTTTGCGTAATGCATGGAAACGTAAATGGCAAAATATTTACTGTTTCCGACTTACCTTCGGAATGCTTTTTTATGTACCCATAACAATGATTTAATTCCATATATTTCTAAAACTTTCTCGACTAAAACAAATAAACGAAAGCTTGTATTGTCTAAAAAATATAGAGATAATTTAAAATTACAACATTTTAGGTGGGAAGAAGAGAAGCGTGCTGATGGTGTAAAATGGAATACATTGGAACATAAAGGACCTGTATTTGCGCCATTATATGAGCGTGTGCCTAAGAATGTCCGTTTCTTTTATAATGGTAAACCTATGGAATTGTCGGAAGAAACTGAAGAAGCAGCTACATTTTATGCAAAAATGTTAAATCACGATTATTGTACTAAGGATGTGTTCAATCAAAATTTCTTCAAAGATTTTCGTAAAAGTATGACGTCACACGAAAAAGATATCATTAAGGATTTTAACAAATGTAACTTTGAAGAAATGCACAAATATTTTGCTGCTGAGTCTGAAAAACGCAAAAATGCAACCAAAGAAGAGAAACTTGCTAAAAAATTGGAAAATGAGGCAATTATAAAGGAATATGGTATTTGTATTATAGATGGTCATAAAGAAAAAATTGGCAATTTTCGTTTGGAACCCCCTGGTCTGTTTCGTGGACGTGGAGAACATCCAAAAATGGGAATGATCAAGCGGCGCATAAGAGCAGAAGACGTATCTATAAATTGTGGTAGAGAATCTAAGGTACCAGCCCCACCAAAAGGTCATCGTTGGAAAGAAGTCCGCAATGATAATACCGTTACATGGCTTGCTTCCTGGATAGAGAATGTGCAAGGTCAGGTAAAGTACATTATGTTAAATCCCTCATCTAAGCTGAAGGGTGAAAAGGATCATGTGAAGTACGAAACAGCACGGCGACTAGCACAATCAATTGATAAAATACGTAGCACATATCGCGATGAATGGAAATCAAAAGAAATGCGTGTACGTCAACGTGCTGTCGCATTATACTTTATCGATAAACTTGCTTTGAGAGCAGGTAATGAAAAGGATGAAGACCAAGCCGATACAGTGGGTTGTTGTTCTTTGCGCGTTGAACACGTACAGTTGCATAAGGAGTTGAATGGGAAGGAAAATGTCGTAGTATTCGATTTCCTGGGTAAAGATTCAATTCGTTACTACAATGAAGTAGAAGTAGAGAAACGTGTCTTTAAAAATTTGGAACTGTTTATGGAAAATAAAAAAAAAGGAGATGATTTATTTGATCGCTTAAACACACAAGTTCTTAATGAGCATCTTAAGGAGTTAATGGATGGTAAATATTAATAATTAATGTTAATATATCTATTATATATTTATATATGTTGATTAAAAATTAACCAATTACTTTTTATTATTTAAGGTCTCACTGCCAAAGTTTTTCGTACGTACAACGCCTCCATTACCCTTCAGAATCAACTTGATCTTTTAACAGACCCTGACGCAACTGTGCCAGAAAAACTACTAGCTTATAATCGCGCAAATCGTGCTGTTGCTATACTTTGTAACCATCAACGTTCAGTACCTAAAAGTCATGAAAAATCAATGGAAAACTTAAAAGATAAAATACGTGTCAAACGTGAAGCTCTAGATGACTGTGAAGCTGAATATAATGTAAGTATAAAAAGTATATTATATTAACGAAAATAAGTATATTAAATATTTTAATTGCTATGTAGGATCTTAAAAAAGCGGCAAAACGTGGTTCAGTTAAAGAAAAGGTGATGGCAGATAAAAAAGGAAAACAGTTGGAACGCCTTAAAGAACAACTGAAGAAATTAGAATTACAAGAGACTGATAGAGATGAAAACAAAACTATTGCTTTAGGCACATCTAAACTTAATTATCTCGACCCTCGTATTTCAGTAGCATGGTAAGTAATTTCATCAAATGTTATAATACAGTAATCGTCCAACTAATGAGAGGTGTTTTGCACAGTCGATTCGTTAATTCGAAAAATTTCTTTTTAATTTTATACTTTTTTGTGTTTAAATTTTGTATGCTTGTAAGTCTTATTATAAAATCATGACTTTGGGGAAATGTATATTATTTTCTTAAATCCAGTATGAAAATATGTAGTGTTTCAACGATAGATTCCTATACATGTGTTTTTTCTGCAGTGTTTGTTTAATCATTGATTTGTGATAAATTTTTTATATTGAATTATGCATTGGACATTCGTTATGTTGGACAACTACTCAAGTAATTTGTATACGTATTTATATTTTATATAATATATAATATATTGTGTATTATATACTATAATATTATATGATACGCATTTTTTTAATATTATATGACTGTTGATTGTTTTATTTTGTTTTTATAGGTGCAAGAAGCACGGTGTACCCATTGAGAAGATTTTTAATAAGACACAACGCAATAAATTTATGTGGGCTATACATATGGCCGATGAAAACTACCGTTTTTAAAGAAAGTAAGGAAAACATCAATACAACCCCTAAAATCCCACCACACTATTTCGACGGCAACATAAGTCCTTTACACAGGCGTACACACACAACTTATAGGATTATGTGTATACCATAATAACACAATACTAGTAGATAATATTAAAAAGCGAAGATTATTTAATTTCTGTGTGAAAGGAACCAAAAACACTCTATAGATCAATTTTTTTATATAATTATTTTTATATTTATAAAAAAAAACTTTAGTTTAATTTTTCGTAGTTTTTATAAAATTATTAAAATTTAAAAAAAATGGTTTTAAAAATATCAATGGAACCACATGCTATATGTGTTCCATAGTTCAATTCGTAATGTAAAAATTACAAAAAAAAAAAATACAATAGATATTGTAATAATTTTAATTTATGAAATTTTTTATAATTTCATATATCTGCAACATATTATTTATTATATAAATACTTTTAGACACAAAACTATCATAAACTTGTAAATTTTATACAAAACAAATTGAAATTATTGTTATTCATAGTTTATTCAATTATTCATCCATTATTTTAGATTTATGTTTAATTAAATTTAGAGCAATTGTAAATATACACAAAGCCACGTTAATATGCAATTCTACGGCCTATAAATTCATTATTTTTTTTAACCGCATTAAGACATTTGTGATTTGATAAATCTAGGGTGTTGAGCGGCTTTTTTTTCTGTGCAATTATGAATAAAATAAGATAAATGTTTTTCATTATTTTAACAACATTCAAATATAATGATTACTCAAAATTATATTCAAATTAATATTAAAAAACAAACTATTTTAATATTTTAGTTTTATATATTCTAATCAATAAGATTGATGCGTTTCCTTTAAATGTAATTTCTAGAAATGAATTTTGAAATTAACCGAACATATATCTAATAAAAACATACCTTCTTATTATGAAATAGTATTAAATGTAAGAATGATTATTATGCAACATATAGAAGCATTAATGTAATTCAAAATAAATTTGAATAAATTTACATACATAATTACCATAACTATTTAATGGATTTTATTTCGAATAATATTTAAATAATTTATATTTTTATACAAGTAATACTGCTGCTTGGGTGGGCAGCGAATATATTTAGATATAAAGAAAAATTAAACTATCTATTATTAGGAAGCAATAATAAAAAATTAAGTTAAAGATCATACTAAGAGTTGTGTTTGTTAGCGTAGTTCACCATTGGAATTGAGAAAGCAACTACATATATGGATAACAATCATTACAAAAATTGATAGGAGTGGATGATTAAGGGAAATTAAATGGGATATTACGGGAAAAGTAAAATGATCCATCAAAATGCATTTGTAAAACCTTAACATATTACTTATGTAGTATCAAACAGTTCATTCTGTATGATAGCCCAATAAATGGAGAAAGAAATACAAACGTCTGGACTTTTGTTGCAACCACTTTTTTTATTATTTGAACTTTGTTGTTTTTGTTTTATTTTATTAAGCAGGTATGAGACTGGTTCAAGTTATAAAATTTATAATTTATAAACGATCAGAATGTTTCATATTGAAATTCTTGGATTCCGATTAATATGATAGTATGTCATTCTTTGCAAAAAATAATTATTTTTGCTTATAATTTAAATGTTTGTGAGCATAAACATTATTATGTTCCAGCAAAAATTTAATCGGTTTGGAACTATGAGATGATGCATGCCGAAAGTTGAAGGGAATTGTGACTAAAATAGTGTAACCGAAGAATTATCTTTGTAAACAGCACAGTTTGAGTTTAGTTCCTGTGAGGTTAACTTTTTAAGAAAAATAGTTATTAATCTTAAGAAATTATAATATATATGATAAATATTATGGAAGATAATTTATTTCAATAGGAATGTCTTGCATTTGATTTACAGTGAATCAATAAAAATTACTCGCAGACAATATAATTTAATTTTTAACATTAAGAGAAAATTAATATCTGAGAGCTTGAAAGGAGAATAATATCTCTTGGTTACAATATACATTTCAATTTTTACCAAGCGAGATGTTGAATATATAACTTACGTTTCTAATGGCATCGTATTTATGTCCCGGAACTACTTTTGTTTTAAGTTTATTAAAATCACAACATCTAATTGAGAGTTAATAACTTCGATTTAATGATTATATTTTTAAGACTTGTTGGAAATACATTTTTAACACCAAACATTTTTACATTCATTAAATTAAGTAAATCGATTATTTATTTATGTACTTCTGTTTCTGAAAGAAGTTTTAAATAATAGAATAAAATCAAAAATGCTTTTCTCGATTTATCAGTTATTCTATCAAATTATGTTTTCTAAACAATATTTAGTTGCAATTTAAGATCGATAGTATTACAAAAATAGTGGTTACGCATAAGTGTTTAGTGAAAACGGAATAAGATAAAAGTTCACTTTGCATAGACATATATTTTGCATTGAATAAATTATATACAAAAAAACCGAATTAAATTTTTAACAATTAATCGTGTTTACGTTTATTATATAATTTAAAACCATATTTAAAATTTTTTAGGTGGGTGGTGAGTTTTATTGGTCAATTTTTTTTATAGTTTCTAATTACTTTTGAAATTATAGATAAGCGATTCAATAGAATAATACTTATCACCAAATAGAATAATATTTACTGTATGTATAAGTAACTTTATTATTATAATTATTATGATGCTGTTATTATTAAAAATATTAAATAAAAACAATATTGTTAAACATAAATAAACATGAAATGTAAAAGAATGAGAGCTGCCACAAAATGATTGTTTTTTCAAAATTCGCCAAAATAACGAAAAAGTACAGTACGGATAAAAACCTAAAAAATGTATATTACAAACAAAAGATTATGTTGTTGTCAAAAATATATGTAAATAATAGCTGGTGTGAGGTGGTATTGTATTGGGTTATCAGGGAACTTGATGCTTTGTAATAAAAATTTTAATAAAACAATAATATTGATAAACAGAACGTGAAATTTTCTTCAACATATCAGAAAAAACATTTATTTATACGAGGAAATAACAAAAACATCAGAGAAATCACATATCTGACAATGAAAAGTAAAACTACACCCACAAGTAAGAAGAAACGATAAGCAGAGGCCAGCTGAATGAGGCAGATATACAGAAACAGTCAATGACGTTATATTAGCAGATAGTTGGATAGTTTGTTTGCTAAACAAATACAAAACTAAAAATAGAAAAACGAATAAATCAAATACAAAAATATAATACTAATTAGAAGACGTGGTGTAATGAATAACGAAAGGGGAATAATGACTACAACAAGTACCATGCTAGATGCGATACCAACAATTTCGGCGGCAGTGTCCAGTTCATCGATTTCAAATGTTGTAGACATGCAAAGCAGTAACAACGCAGTTGACGGCATAAGTGGCGATGGTACTAATTATAACATTGTACAAATAGTGCAGCAAAAATTTAAGGACAATGAAAAGGTTTTGTCGGTAGGTGGTTGATGGCGAATTGATTTTAATTCAATTAACTAATACTATTGTTACAAATATAGGTTTTCGAAGCATATCAAATTGTTGGACAAGAACATAGAAGTTGTCTTTTGACCTTGGTGGTGTCAGTTGCGGGTGGAACTTACGCTGTTTTTTCTCTACCAACGGCACGTTTGCCGCCACGTAACATTGTTGATTTAAATATTGATAAGATATTTCCACTGAATGAAAATTTTCAAATGAGTACAGGTAAATGCGAATAACTTAAAATCAAATAAATAAAGTGATGCAGGCAATATGTTTTGATTTTTAGATAAAAAAGGCTCTATATCGGAATTACAATTTGAGCTGTGTAACAAATTCTCAGATGAACCACCTGTCAAATTTTTCTACTACCCCATTATTACAGTTGCGGGCGTTTCAAATTTTGAGACTTTTCATGCCCAAGTCGTAAACGCTAAAAAATCTATGTCACACTCTACAGCAATATCGGAAAGTGTGTTCAGTTTCAATTGGATAAATGATTACAGACAAATTGGTGAAGTAAAACAAGAACTTAAACGCCGTGAAAATGAATATATTATTTTTAAAGATTTTTCGTAAGTAAATTACACAAAAATTTCATTAATATAAATATATAAATTGCGGTTTGTAGAATTTATTGCGCTACTTGGAACGTTAATAATAAGTCTTACTCCGAAAGTCCGTTGTATATGTGGCTATCAGCTTGTGAGTCTCCACCAGATATATATGCCATTGCTTTGCAAGAATTAGACACTTCAGCCAAAGCAATAACCTTTAGTGAAAATCGTCCTGATGCGCTATGGATGTAAGATTTATAATGTCACTTATCACACTATACGATAAAATATTATTTTTCCAGCAACAAAATGCTCGAAAGTGTACACAAAGAAGCTGAATATGAAGAGTTGACAACGGTGCGTTTAGTAGGCATGATGTTAACGGTTATTGTGCGCAAACAAATACGTCCATATATAGCGCGTTGCAGGGTGAAATCAGTGGCACGGGGTGTATTTAATACTCTTGGTAATAAAGGAGGGGTAGCAGTTAGTATTCAACTAAACGAGGGCAACATCTGTTTTGTGAATTCACATTTAGCAGCACATTTAGCCTTTGTAGATGTACGAAATGAAGACTACGCCGGAATTGTTAAAGGATTAATATTTGATGATGATCTTAGACGAACTATCAATGACCATGAGTAATATAAAATTGATTGCTAATAAAATTATATTATTTTATTATAAAATTTTTTAGTCATATTTTCTGGATTGGAGATTTGAATTATCGAATCGAAGAACCTCCTGGATTACAATTACCTATGCCACGTTCAGCACCTAATGCCTATGAAGTACTTCTGAAACATGATCAATTGATACAAGAAATGCGCAAAGGCAATTGTTTTAATGGTTATACTGAAGGCCCCATTAAATTTAGACCGACTTATAAATATGATGTAGGCACAGATAATTTTGATAGCAGGTTAATATACAGTTTATGCTTATTATAAATCTTAAGGAAATATTAATTAAGTTAATTGTGGTTTTAATATAATAGTGAAAAACAGCGTGCGCCTGCTTACTGTGATCGCGTACTATGGAAGGGTTCGCGTATAGAGCAATTAGCATACGATAGTGTGATGGAAATACGTTTAAGTGATCATAAACCTGTTTATGCCATATTTAGAGTAAAGGTATTGTTATCGATTTGTAATGTTACACACGTTGTTTATTTTAGTTTTGTTTAATTTCTATTCAAGATTAAAACAAGAGATGAAAAACTTTATAAACGTATACACGAAGAAGTTCTGAAGCTCGTAGATAAGCGTGAGAATGAAAATCAGCCGCAAATTACTGTAGAGAAAACTGTCATTGACTTTGGTTTGGTGAGATTTAATGAAGTAGCAGTAAGCGATTTTACTGTTTCTAACTCCTGCTCAATGAAAGTTGATTTTATGTTTAAAGTAAAGGATCCACCTCTTAATGACATTTGTGAAAAATGGTTACAAGTAGAACCTAAATCAGAAACTTTGATTACAGGTGAGCTAAATAATAAATGAATAAATTAATTTATGTATATGTTATCTAATTATAATATACTATAATTAAATGCGACAGATGCTACAAAGAGCATACGTGTGAAACTATTGGCTGATGTGCGTTCAATAACAGGATTGTTGAAAAAAATACGAACCACAATTTGGAAGTTTGATTTTGATATATTAATTTTACATGTCAAAAATGGACCAGATATTTTTATTACCGTAACTGGCGAGTACAAACCAAGTTGTTTTGGCTTATCTATGGAAACGTTATGTCGAACAGATCGACCATTATGTGAATACACGCAGGCAGAAATGAAAGATCTTGTAAGTTTTATTGATTATAATATCAATTCTTAATATCTAATGAGCACAATTTTTATTTATTAAAAAATCGAATATTTCACTTACTTGTTAACGTACTGATCAATAAAATGACTACTCAATGAAATGACTATTAAACAAAATAACTACCCAAATCAATGATTACTCGATAAAATGACTATTAGATGAATGATGAAAACCCGGAGTATCGCGTTACTATGCCTCGTGAATTCTTTTTACTCATTGATTTTATACACAAACAAGGGAACAAATCAGAAGGTGCATTTGATTCTCTAGAATACAAACATGCAAAAACCGTACAGTTCAATGATATACGTGACTGGTTGGATACTTGGTCGAGCAATGAATTTCGTAAGTAATAATAGAATGCCATGTATGTGATTCACTTTGTAAATATATATTTGAAATATTTCAGCTGGAACCCCGCATGCTGCTGCGGAGGCGTTACTTATGCTTTTAGATTTACCAGAAACTCCTTTACTAGATCCTTTTGTTGAAGATCTTTTACAAACTAATACTGCGGCTGAAGCAATGGAGCTGATAGCATTGCTAAGCTCACCTAAAAGAAATGTTTTTGTGCACTTGTGTATGTTTCTACGTGAAGGCATTGAACAAAAATATTACAAACTACAAAATGTTGGTACGTTTAATATATTTGATATAAAAATCACTATATAGAGATCGGTTTTTGAACAGTAATTATTTTATTTGTTAAATTATTGTGTTTTTGGCTGACCATACACCTATTGCGAGTATTGAGAAATACTCAACATTTGCGATCTTTCAAATTGTTTCTGGAATTTTATTGTTTGTAAATAATATGTTAAATTGCAAGTGCCATGAGAACTTGTTGATTGCTGTATATAAAGTGCCAATCTCTCCAAATCAAGACAGCCAATTGAAGACAGTTCTTGACTCCAGCCAAAAACTGTCAAGTTGCCCTAAGTACAGTTAATTACATTGTTGCAAAGTTATGAGTGTATAGTTGATTTAAGATCATTACGGATTTATGTTCTGTAACCATTCATCTGCAAAGACAATAAGGTGCAGGGTGAACCTATCAACAGGGGGTAATATCAAGCACATTAAGCAAATATCATTTCATTCATAGATATTAATAAAAGGTTAAAAAATTTTTAATATATATATAAATTTTTTCACTGTATTCCAGCAACTGTATTTGGACGCGTATTGTTACGTAGGAATTCTAGTTTTAAGGATTATGTTAGGGATACGCGCTGTCGTGAATTTATGCTTCGATTTATTAGCTCCGATATGGGTACATTGTCAAACGCGACGGAGTTGTCTGCGGCTGATACTAATGGTGCAGTTGGCGGTGCTGTTGATTTAATTTAAGTAAAAAATGGCGAAATAAATATATATATTATTTTTAGGTTTAATTTATTGATCAAATTTGTTATAAGCTAAGTTATTTGTTATCATACTAAATTCATAGAATTTAGTTACAATAGTAATTAATCGTTTCGTTAACTTTTTTAAGTTATATGCAACGATTAGTTAGTTTTAAGCTTAAACAATATATACACATATTCCATTTTAATTTTGCAATTATATGTAAAAAATGTATTTATTTACAAATTAGTTTTTGTATATTTAAGTTGTTGTTATAAATGTGCTATATTTAACATGTTGTGCTTGTTAAACTAACGTGCGCGCTTAAAATTTTATATAAGAATAAATAAAATTCTTCAAAATGAACCTGCTTAAGCATTTGTGAAGGCCTAAAAATTGATCAAGGCATATGCAGTTCTAAAGATTCGTAATTGTTCATATAATAAAATAATTAGTCATTATTATGATAAAAATACTATAATTTGGTAATAAATTTAATTGGTTGAAAGCAGACAAATTTGAAAAATAGATTTTTATTTCATAACAAATTTCTATTTTAGTTTAAATGAGTGATGCTACCTATTTATTTTAATTTTATTTTCTATTAAAATATAAAAAACTCCAAAATAAAACTCAAGTGATTGCTGTTAGCTTTTGTAAGGGAAAGATTTAAATAATGAGGTAAAATAATAAAATAAGAAACATTGTTATATAGTAAGAGCCGGGCCTTTATTTGTGCTTAAGTGGGCTTTTTGGGACACAAGGCCGCCACTCCAACCTATACCTATACCTATATAGTAAGAAGTTATAGCAGATTTCGAAAGGCAATTACTGTTATTCCTTATATGTTAAAGGCAGTTAGTATCCTGTTTAATACAAGGTAGATAAGCAAAAAATAATTGCAAATATGATTGGTTCTAAAAGTAGTGGTGTTTTCGTATAGGAGCCAATTATTATTAAAGATCAAATGTGAGTGATAACTCTTACGAAGTTTCAACGTATGCAAGATATACCAAGCACTCTTCTTTAGTAACAACGGGCTTACTGGGGCTACAAAAATTACATAAATCTATAAAAATTAAAAATAAAGGAACAAATGACTAAAGTTATTGAAGAAGTTAAACTAGTGATAATAGCAATATCATATCCTAGTTTGCATGAAACAAAATGGTATGAATCAAATGCTCCTCGGGGAGGTATGCAGATCTGAGGTCAATTATTGCTTAGTCTGATGAAGTGATAAACAATAATCTAGTCAAGGTGTAGAGAGGGGTTTTGAAGAAACCTCGAGTTAAAAAAGAGTATAAGTGCTTAAGTGCACTAGCTCAAAACACCTTCAACATAATAATTAGATAATATTATAAAATTAATGTTTTCAAATGAGATTATAAATGTAAGAGATTTTTCATTTAATGAACCATGTAAAGTTGTGCCAGCCTCTATTATTATTATTCTTTCCTTGAGAAAGTTATAACTAAGAAAATACAAGCGTTGCGTTTGTCACTCTAATACAAACTACCTCTATATGTCTTGGATTCTTGCAAGTGTTCTGAGATGTTTGCTGTGATTAATTCAATACTTTTATTTTTATTGATTTAGTCTGACTTAGTATTCTACTAAACTTTAGGAAGCCGTTGCAATATATCAGTAGGAATAAGAAGCTATGATTGGTCCTTAATATTGACAAACGATCCCAGAATGTAGAGCCAATCGAGTAAGTAGTTATAGTTGAAGAAAACAAAAAGATATTTTTATATTTTTTTCAAAAAGAATCATAAAAGTCTTTGTTGGTTCATTTTATTGTGCATTTTATTCACAATAATTATTATATATTACAGTATTTCTCCGTTTGGCTTGTTATGATATTCGATAAGCTGGTTTATTAATTAAAGGCCATTATTTGATTTGAAATCATATTCTGAACTTTTTTCTCCATTTCTCAGAATTAGCGGCTATGCTTTTCTATATATTGCTAATTGTAATATTAATCGAATTTATACTCATAACGGTTAGTCCCTCTTCTGAATCCTTCTGAATCACTTTCTCTGAATCCGCACGAATGACTTGCTAAAAGACCCTAGAATAGATTCGGCCAAAAAATACATAAGGGACAGACCTCTGAAGCTACATGCGAAAACCGACAGGCTGCCCTATCTAATCTCAGAATAATCTGTAGCCGCACGGGGCGGTACGCAAATCTTAGATCAGTCAATGAATAATCACGAAGCTTATGAAGAATACACAAATTACTCAGTGAGATGTGTGGGACTCTGGGTGGGAGCCCCTACCTATCAAAGAGTAAAAGTGTCCAGATGCACTAACTCGGAAAAGGCTCAACATAATAATTAATATTTAAAAAACAAAGTATTTTTTAAAACTTGATATATGAAAAAGTTTTTCACTAATTATTTTTATAATGACTATTCTATTAGAATTGAATAGAATTTTCCCCAAGACTATGTCAATGCGTTAATTTTAACTCAGATTCGGGTAAGCTTTCCCATTATTTTCCTACAATAACACATATTTCGGCATTGCCTTTGCCTCGCTTGTCTTTAGTTGCATGCAATCCTAAAAGAGATCAACAGCAGCATCGACAATGGGCACAACAACAACAAGTGCTTGATGAAATGAGCTTCCACAAGACGAAGACATTTTGTTGCGCTCCAAATGTGAAGTGTGACTTGTTCTTTTTCTTGTTGCTTTGCAGCCTCAATTTCCGCTTCCGTTGTTCAGCAATTTTTAGTGCCGTACATTTTTCATGTTAACGTGTTTATTTGCAAGACTTTAAATTTCGTTTCTTGCTGCTCGTTTACAAAGTAATTCATTTTTTTTGGGAGTAAAATTTTTTTTATTTAATTTTTTCTTCACAGCTAGAAACTGTGCTAAATACGTGGGCAAATTAGACGAATTGTCACATTCCAAGCGTGCAAGTACTCACGGCTACGAGGTGGAAAAGTGTTAATAAAACGGATGTCTCCAATGTATTTTCCCTGTTCTCTGTTCTGTGAAAAGTGTCGTGCGATACTTGTGAGGGGAAGATAAGCTGCTTGATTACGTGTCAGAGCTCTTAAAATATAACTGTTAAATAATTAAAAATGTAAATGTGGTGTAACAACATCAACTCATTAATACATGAAGACATTAAAATATGTTACGCAAGTTTAATTACGCGAAAGTACGGGAAAATGAAATGCCTAATTACTTTGTGTGGAACATTAAATGACAGTCCCTCAGTTAAATAATCTTGAAGATTAAATGAAATTCATACACGGAATGATTTTATAATTTTGTTGGAGTTATGGAAGAGATTAGATTAAAGACATGAATATAAAGAAATAATTACTGAGAAAACAATAGAGAACAGAATTTAAAAGAATTATTAGTTCCTTAAATAATTTACTCTCTGATAGTGATTCCTCTGTGTATAGAAAACTCCCAATAAAGAATCTTTAAGGTTACCTTATAATTGATCTGTAAAACCAAAAACAAGTTGTGTTTTACAATAAGATACAAAATTTAGTTAAATTTTTCCCAGAAAGGTGTTCGGGAAAGAGGCAGCATCTGTACCCATATAATACCAACATTCAGTATTATATAAAAATAAAAAATCCTAATATACAAGCACACTTTTTCAACTCACTCCACACTTTCTTCTGTCTATAAATCGACTTCGGAAATCGGATACTTGTATTTATCAAAGCATTCGGTTGGTTTTTTTCTCCTACATAGGAGTATATAATCAAAAAGGTTTTTGAGTAAAATTTGTAGGGTGGAGCTTCTTCAAATGCACATACCTAACTACTTATACCTTATGAAAGTTGTAATCACTTCAAGCATAACTTAAATATTTTTAAGCAATTTGCAAGTACTTTAAAAGAGTTATAAAGCAGGATAAAGCATTTTTGTCAGTAATTAAATAATTTAAAATCAAACTGAATTAAATTTTCTTTAACCTACAACCTCTTGTTATAAAACTATAGCGTTTTATAGATATTTTTTTTGATATTTAAAATGTTAGGTTAGGTTACGTTTAACTGATTGGTACCAAAATACCAAGCAAACATTCCCGTTTCCTTTTATAACGGTTAGACACATGCTCGATAGAATTATGGTTCTATTAACAGCTGCATATCCACTTTGTGCCTTTTACTCGGGTTAGAGTGTTTCTCTAAGTCCGATTTCTTTAATGAAAGATAGTTAGAGACTATCTTTTCAAGTCTTAAATCTTTATGATCCACGAAATACGCTCCTAGGTGTTTATGACGTTTGTGCATCAGTGTCGGTCGTTCCCCAAGAACATGGTATGTAGTTTCTCTCCCTTTTCTACAGTAACTGTAGCCTGAGTTGGATTGAATAACTTCGATAGGTGATTATTCAATCTACAGTGACCGGTCAATATTAAATCCCGTATAATAATGATCCCGTAATAGGTTAGGTCATATTTTGTTGCACTACTACTATATTTTAACTTTAGCATTAAATAGAAGGTGACTTCGAGTGACTTCGACTCAGGACATGTTTAGCAAAGTACTTCATTAGTTACGTGCAATTAAGGGCATGTATGATATGAATTATCTTAATAATCTATATTAATTAACGAAATTAGAATTTTCTGTAATAATTTCTTAATGAATTGAACATTCATATAATTGACTACAAGTGGATGTAAATCAGTTTATCTAAGTACTACGTTATATATTGCTTCCTTAAAGAAAATTTAGCCACAATGTGAAAATAAACTGAAGTTTGAGTAAACTTTACTTTATAAATAATCAAGTTGGAAAAATCAAGCTGGAATTAATAACGGATGGAACTTTATTTCAATTGTAATAGCTTTCATGTCCGCACAAAGTACTTTACCTGCGAAAGGATTAAAATGATTTATTAAGTTTATTTTGCAGTTTGTCGCTTTTTGTTTTAATCTCTCCTGCTACTTTTATATTGAAATAATTCTGTTAGTTATTTTAAGAGTCTATAAATTGTTTCTACTTATTATTTTATTATTGTGAAAAGAAAATATCACTTCCTGCTGTCGTTTAATATGAAATCCTTTTAGCTGCTATTAATTTATTGTTAACCAACGAAGCAATTTTCATATCCGCTCGTTAAATAAGTGAGAAAACTTTGTCTTTAGCATGGAAGTTAATTTAAAGTTTTCCCATTCCTTTCAACATGCTCTTTCAG